CCTGTGGATGATCCTAAGAGACCAAGTCTGAAGAGACAGTCCCCAGGCAGAGTAGGCCTTATATTTATACCTCTGTGGTGGAACCTGCTAGAACATCTTGCTTACTCAGCCTAGTCAGGTGATCAGGTCATATGACCAAGGATGAGGTCATATGAGGTCATGCACAGCCATGCACAGCAGGTCACCTGACCATCCAATCCTTCCAGCAGGTTCCAGCACATGCCAAGGTATACCAGCTACTTCCATGTCATAAAGGCTTAGTCATGTCTCTTGACCAAGCAATGAGCTGGTGCCCTGACACAGCATGACAAACTGACGTCCTTCCAGTTGTGTGGAGTGTGCCGGAATATTTGCCCATCATGCATGACCTCATGCATTGAGTGTGGCAAGGACTTCTGCATTAACTCCTCTCATGGGGAAGGTTGTGCAAGAATTGGACAGACAGAGATTGAGAAACTGGGAGGCATCCAATGTGTGCCCTGTTATGCAGCAAGAAAAGAAGTTCGGCCTGTGAGTTTTTTTTCATGGATTGAGTATAATGTACTAAGGAGAATAAGTACAAAATTTGGGGGAGTTCAGAGGCTTGGGCAAGGGGGTCTGCTAAGCTGTGGCCTATCATGGCACTCTTTGTTCATTGGAAGGAGGAGGATGGATTCAGCATCAGCGCCTTTTCATCTCAAGCTGCCAAAGCACATCTAGGGGGGATGTTCCTGAACAATAGAAAGGTGTGTCTGCATAGGTATTGAGATGTTTGACTGATGGTGAACAGATGGAAATGTTCAACTGGGTCAACATCAAATTATCCTACCTGGGAATGAGGTGGCAGGTGGGAAACAGCCCAGCCAAAGCAGTGGTCTCCATGGACACAACTTGGTTCCTCAAGGAGGACATTGCAAATTGTCTGGCAGGCATGAAGGCAAGGTAGAGTAGTGTCTTTGTTGGAAGATGAAAAGTATATTGATGGATTACTAGGCATGGAGAAGACTTCCACATTCTGTGCATTGTGGATACACATTTAGATATGAAGGAAGGCAACTTGCAGCTATGCTTACCTGGTATGGACAGAGAATGGGGCAATCTGATGGATGTAAGTATGGGAAGAGCTACTGATGGGATGGAACTAATCAATGGAATAGTTGATGGCCTTCCTCTTTGGGGACCTGATGCCTTGTTCAGAGTGCAAGAGCATATGTTGCATGTTGCTTGCCTGCACAGCCACAGTGACAAAGGGAGGGGGGAAAATCAAGCAGGCTGGGTAAGGAATTTGAGGAATTGTGAGTTGTATGGGCTGACTTTGGCTCAGGCACCTTTGGCACAATATCATTGCATTCACAGTGCCAAAACTTGAACCCCACCATTTGACCAAGCATTTCCTCCTCCCATTCCTCTGCCATTGCTTCCTTGACCACAGAACCTTCAAGGATGCTGTCATGTGTGCTTATGACAAGGAACTGTGCATTGAGCATGATTATGATCTCTACTGGTTTGGGGAATACAAAACCATGCAAATCACAACTGGTGCTCCTCAGAAGAATTGGAATGGAAATCTGCTCGATCAATTCTGTCCCACCTGCCATTGGATCATGCAATGGAAGGGAGCTCAAAAAGGGAAGGAAGCTAAATGTGGTCAATGGTTTTGCTGCACAAGGAAGGACTGCAAGAAGGGGCAAGTTATGCTGAAATTCCAGAATGGACAGAATGGGGTTTGGGCAGCTTATCCAAACCCCTGGGATGAGAAATGGCATGTACTCAAAATTGAAGTCAACTTCAATGAAAAACAGCCCTGCCTTCAGCCTCAGCCTACTTGTTCCATTGGGTGGATTGTGGACGCTGAGGAGGTGGAGGAAGATGATGGGGATGCTTCATCACTTTCACCACCTCCTGAGTCCCCTGTTCAAGATACTGCTTGGATTGAGGAAGAGCCTTCAAAAGAGGACAAAGCACCACACAGCCTATTGCCAGCAAACTCTGGGAAGACCAAATACAACCCTGATCGAGCAACACCAGATGCTGATGCCATGGTGGTCAACCTGGTGACTGTGGACTTGAGGCAGCCAGGAGGGTCTAGCAGTGCTAAATGCTCAAGCACTGCTACCCAAAAGAATCCTGCAGGAGGTCCAGGGAAGGGGAAGGGGAAGACTGGTTCGAAGAAAGGGAAGGGGCAGTTGGAAGGACCAGGACAATGTGAGGGGGTGAAGAGATTGCCTGGAGCAAAATTGATGGGACCAGGATTGAAGGCATATCTCTGTAGCAAGAAGACTGCCAGTGTGGAGAAGTAGGGAACTAGATCATATGTTTTTTGGATGCCTTGAATTGATATGCTTATGTTGTTGCCCATGCATTTATGGAATGATAGGATTAGAATGGAGAAATATTGAAGAAGATATAAATGTTTGCAGATGAGAAGGTCAAAAAATGTGCTACCATGTAAATACAGTAGATATTGTAAAAAGGCAGTTCAAAAAGTTGATATTATGTCTAAGTGGATTACATATTATGTCAAGGAAAACCTTTGTTGGAGTTCTGGTTCCTAAGCAACAGATAACAAGCACACGGATGCAAAAAATAAAATTAAAGTGGAGCTTAAACTGGATTACTAATTAAAAATAAAATAATAATTGGGAGGCTGGGTCTCGCTGGAAGGATGGGTCTGAGAGCGATCTAGGGTCCTGTCCTTTCCCGCCGTCCGTATTCTATGACAGAGTGGACTAATAGTTAGAAAAAGCCACTCCACTTTATAACCCTGAGAACGTTGTCAAGGGTCTACCCCTACGATAAACACACGAAACTATGTGGTACATACTCGCATTGCATCTAGTCAGATCGCACAGCTTTACCACTGATAGAAAGTAACGTTTTGGACAGATCAGAGTTTGCCTCGGATGGGTGGACAGCGGTCGGGTATTACTCGCCCCGTCGTTGGCTTCCCACACGTAAATGAGAGATCACACGTCCATCACCCGGATTACGCAGAGTATACATACTGAGTTGGGGTCCATTAACCATACAACACACACCTTCTGACATCCAAAGAAGTGCTAACTGACCGAGCCCATCCCGCATCGTCACGGGTATGTCATCTCATCTATCTACGGGCACTCCCGCTTTATTCCCGTTGGACAACCCTCACTCCTACGTCTAAACACCTAAACACGCCGCTGGCAGCACGTTGCGACGATCATTCACCCAGAGGTCCTTCACTTATCTTATCCACCAACACTTCGTCGCGCGCTCCCATGCTTCTTCTGTCCGAAAGAGAAAGACAGAAGTCGCATCCAGCTGACCACACTTCCCCATCCTACCATCAAATACCCTGGCCTTCTCCGCATGATTAAGACCGCTAAGATGATGCTCCGGGTGGGGGTGCTTCCCCCGCGGCGGTCGGGCCAGCGCTTGCCGGACTCGAGCTTCCCGGTGGGGCAGGTCCGCCAGGCGCGTCCTTCGGTGCATTCAGCTCTGCCTCGATGCGCTCCTTCGCACGAACGACCTTGGACTGTAGATAATGCGAGTACGGTGGGGGTACTTTTGGATGTGGTTTGCCTGCTTCTGGTGGTGCAGGAGGGGCGTTGACCTTGAACAAATGTTCGTATTTCTACCATCATTTTGATCAGCCCGACATCTTATACAGTTAGCAAAAATAGCGCGCACTTGTAATACGCTGGGCATCACGTCGCCCTTTTTGGTGTTGAGGATTAGGTGCGCCTCATCCAGCGTCATTCTGTGTTGTCGTGTAAGCACGTCCGTGGCGGAACCAGTGTTTGCGCCTGCTACGCCGGCAACTTCGTTCCCTAATATGGAGGCTGGTCGGTATTGGGCATCTGGATGAAAAGCTGTCAGCGACAAGGCCCCCTAGAAGCGGATGAAGCAGGAAATGCGAGTATTGACAGGGGCCCAGATCTCAAAATTCCAACGTATCACTGCGCCTCTGCCGACCGCCCACCCATTGTATAATCCCGAGAATATCCCTTGCATGTCCTCGGTTCCAGAAGGAAAACTGCCCCAAGTCTCTGCATTGCTCTTCTCATCCAGCCCTCTCCAACCAGCCCCACAGCCCTCTCCAACCAGCCCCAAACCCAAATCACACTGCTAACTCTCAATCTGAAAAGCGGAAGCTGAACCCACTTTTCATCGCCTGTCTGCCTGCCTCGTAGAACGCCTTGCCCAAAATTCCGGACCCGGTGATGACAATCTGAATGATAGCTCTAGGTAATGACTAGCTCTTCTTTAGCGTGTGTATACTGCCAGACTGCCAGAGACCGGGGGAATCACCATTAGGATATTATGGCGATGTAAATAAATGCTATGTCAAGAGTTTCAAACAGACGAGTGCAGGAGATTTGGGTGAGCAAGAAGAGTGCAGAGCAGAGCAGGCCGGAACTGCCGAGTGCTTGCGTCTGCCCAAAAGTTGCACGCCAGCTTCTTCTGCGCTCAGCGAGAATGTGATTTGGTGGCTGTGTTCGGAGGCGAACGGGCGACCTGTTCAACTGAGCCCTATCTCCGAGTCGCTCACTGCTCGCCATCTACCTTCCCCACCACCAGGAATGCCTGCTCCTGCCTCGCGCACTGATATGTCACCCCATCCCTCAGCAGCGGCATCCAATCGCTCCTCGGCCCGTCCTGCGGACCCAACGCAGCTCGGCGAGCCAGGATTCGTGCAAGACCCCCGGGTGTACATGGACCGAGTCACCGGGACATGGCGTTTCGAGGACGACGATGAGGAAGGGACGGAGATGGAGTGGGATGCAAAGAAGCGCAATTGGGTGCCTGTAGTGAGTGCTTTGTTCGTATTTTGTTTTATGGAGCAGAGGGGGTGGCTTACCACGTCATGCGTAGATTGATGAAGATCTCGTAAGGGCTCAACAGGCGGCGTATTCCGTTCAAGGGGTGGATGAGAGCGCGCCTGCCGCTCCTGTGCTCGCTAGGGAGAAGAAGAAACGGAAGAAGGAGCAAGTGGACTATACTTCTGGGAACACGACTCCCCTCCCTCCAGCGAAGAAGACCAAGCCCGAGCCGAAGCGGGGAAAGAACACGGCGGTGTACGTGTCTAGCATCCCGCTGGACGCGACAAAAGACGAGATCATCGATCGGTTCGGCAAGTTTGGGGTATTGGAAGAAGAAGATGAGGGAGAGCCGAAAGTGAAGATGTATGCGGATGAGGAGGGGCTGTTTAATGGTACAGCGCTAGTGGTGTACTTCAAAGAGGAGAGCGTGACCCTCGCGATCACCATGCTGGACGAAGCGGAACTGCGCATCGGCGAGGGTGGGAGCATGCGCGTCGAGCTTCCAAACTATGATAACGACAAGTGGAAGAACAAGAGGGAGGCGAAGGTGGAGCGGAAGGTAGTCGACAAAAGCAAAGCGAGCAGAAGGTTGAAGCGCATGGAAGGGTGCGTCTTTTGCTTCTTGCGCCGGAGTTGGTCCCTCATATGGGCAGGAGGATCGCCGAATGGGACGACGAAGACGGCTTTGGACCTCAGCTGGAGAAGAAAGAGCCCCTACCTGCACCGCTCGAATCTCGGGTCGTCGTATTGAAGCATATGTTTACTCTCGACCAGCTCGCTAGCGACCCATCCCTGTTGCTGGACCTGAAGGAGGATGTACGAGAAGAATGCGAGGCTTTGGGGCAGGTTACAAATGTTATTCTATATGATGTACGTCCTTCATCCGTACCTACTCCCTCGTGATTGACCATCGCGCTTGTAGAAAGAGCCGGAGGGAGTGATGACGGTCAAGTTTCGAGATCCCGTGAGCGCCCAAGCATGCGTCCTCGTGCGTCCCCCCTCCTGCCTTGCCTTCCAAACTGACACACTGCGCAGAAAATGAACGGCAGGTACTTCGACAAGCGACGGGTACTCGCGGAACTCTACACCGGACGACAGCGGTTCAAGCGTACGGGTGACGACATCACTAAGGAAGTGGACGAAGCCGAGAAGCAGCGGCTGGACGAGTTTGCAGCATGGTTGATGGCAGAGGACTAGTATGACATTGAGGCATTCCGGGCTTGTTCGAACATGCGGGTGCGAGATTAGGCACGCGAGCTGATAATCTACCTTGTATACTGACACAGACAGACATATAGTATCATTAGTCGATGTCTTCGGGCATATATTGACCTTTCCTCATGCGTTCTGTCCTTGGAGGGGCACGATCTACGTGGCAGGGTAGTCAGTCTTTGCTCTCGAAATAGGAATAAGGCTCACATGGACCGGCGCCTCTGTTTGCACGCCTCCCCGCCCGAGCCGCTCGAGGAAGGAACTCATCCTTCGGCGTAATCCCCACTGTCCACCGTTGCGCCGCCTCGTCCTCCAGCAGCCATTTCTCCAACAAGTCCAAGTTCCTCAGGTTCGCCTTCCAAAGCATGTCTACCAAGTCCCCGATCACGGACACGAGGCCGACAAGTAGATCAATGAGGACGTTGATACCCATCCAGATGAGGGTAGCTGGGGGGATACCAAATACCCAGGAAAGGAAGATCTGGTAGAGGGCGAGAAGGGAGCCGAGCAGGTCGCCCCAGAGTGGGAACAGGGAAACGATGTCGTCTACTCCGATATGGAAGGGGAGTCCGACTTGGGAGAGAAAGGGGAGGGCATCCATGTACCTTTTCCCTTGTCAATACCTTATTTCGTACTCTCTGAAAAAGAGCGCACCATGCGACTGTACGGATGTGGTTGTACAGGTATTGCGCCTCCTCGTTATTCCTCGGTCTATGCAGGAGTGGCAGATACGTCGGTTTGAACGGGCCATAAGAGGATGCATAACGCGTATCATTAGATTTGTTGACATTCGAAGAGAAAAGTGATGCGAAACGGCCTAGGTTAGCAATGAAATCGTTGTAGTATCCGGACATGGTCGTACTAACTACAGAAGAAGCGTGACGTCAATCCAACACGGAGCAGACCCTGGTTGCTCGGCTCCGAGCTGCATCGGCCCGCATCGTAATTTTCACTTTTTATCAATACTCTTTGTACACTCTTTCAACATCATTCTTCCACAATGTCGACACCCGTCTCGACCAAAAAACGCAAGCACGTCGATATCGAACAGTCCCAGTCGCAGGCATCAACGTCTATTCTTCCAGGATCTCCAACAAAACACAAGCAAAAGAAACACAGCAAGTCCAAACACTCCAAACACGCGTCCCAAACGGTATTGTGCAATGAGAATGGGCCGCTGGACCAGCCGTTTGTACGGCTACATGCACGGATGACACTTTCCATTCCACCAAAATTTGCGAACAACCCCAAGAAGGGTGCTGAGGAGATGCTCGATGCCCTGGTAATGAGGTGCGCTTCTTCCTTTGTTCAACACACTGGCTCTGACGCCGTCTAGATACTCCCCAACACTGGAAGGCATCCTCCTCGCACACACCCAGCTCCAGTTTCTCTGCCCTACCGCTCTTCTTATTGCTGATTCCCCCTTTTCCGCTGCGAACGTGTCGTTCGTTGCTCTCGTCTGGCGACCGAGGATCGGCATGCGCCTGCGCGGCTCCGTCTCCCTCTGCGGCCCGGATCACATTGGGCTCATCCTAGAGCGAACGTGGAACTGCAGCATCCCGAAGTGGGGACTGGATGAAGGGGTGTGGGAGTACGTTGCTGGTACTGGTGCGGAGGGAGAGGAGGGAGCAGAGAGCACGGACAGCGGGTGGTGGAAGACGAGGATGAGTGGGGAGCCGCTAGGCGGAGAGAACAAGACTGTGGATTTCACTGTTGTTGGGTGAGAGTAGCTGAATCTTCCTCTGATGCTCTGGTTCTGACGCTCTTCAAGAATGACAATAGCAAACCAGATGCTCTCGCTCACGGGATCCCTCCTTACTGACCCTCTTAACCCTGCCAACCTCCCCTCGGAAGATTCTCTCCCTCTGAAATCCCTTCAGCCTCCACCGCGCCCTGCCACCCCCTCGAGTGACTCGGAATATGACCCAACTGAGCCTACGGTTGGGTCTATCTTGGTGGACGCGGACGTTCCACGGGACGAGGAGGAAGAAGAAGAAGAGGAAGATGGGTTTGCGGGGTTGACCAGGTTGAGGGGGGAGGCGGCGTTAGAGCAGGAGAGACAGAGGGTGGGGGGCGAGGAAGGGGGAGAGGGAGAACCGAAGAAGAAAAAGCGGAAGAAGGAAAAAGTCAAGTTTGCGGATGGGATTTAGGCCGTGCACGACGACAAATCGCGATTTAGTTTTCTTGGGTATCATAGTAATTTTTTGCTACCCATAGGCATGTTTTATTCCACAATTCCGAGGCCGCTAAGGATACCGTCTTCATATAACGACCCATTCGGCACTGTGAATATCTTCCGAAGCCAATATACTTGACAATGCCAGCGCTCACTGGCGGTGTTGTTCTGTTCGGAGGTGTTGGCATTCCTAGTTCGCGCGTATAATCGTGATGTCGACATGCAATTACAACGGCTCTGGCCAAAAAAAATGTACAGCTTGCACAACAGCCCTCATGCCTTCCAGCATATCCACATGCCCCTCCTCCTCAGCTGATCCGTGGACGTGGAATGACTGGCATTGTGTCACCAACTGGGACTATTACATGACGTCCATCAATGATGCCCATCACTGCAGGAGGCATTTCGCAAGGCTCTCACCTTTGATATTTCCCATCCCCAGCATGCCCTGTCCCTCTGGGGCCTCGGTCGCTTGCACCGGAGGATAATGCGTAGTGTCCCTCACTTCCTTCGGCTGGGCATCGCCCTCCTCGCCGGTCTTGTTCTGGGAGTCTGGTGCACCCGTTTGCTGCGGGACGTCGTCGTTCGTCATGGGTGAACAGAGGCGGCGGAGCAACTTGTGGAATAGTGCCATTTCGAGACTTGCTTATGGCGAAGGTGAAATGATGTTGGATCAGCTGGATCGCAGTTGCAGATGTTGCACTTCGATGAGCTTGTTATCTGAAATTATTTGGAGGGGGTATGAGCACCTTATATGCCGGCTGGAGACCCATACTCCGCAGCAGCATCAGGTGCCATCCGTCCAGAGTAATAATGACCCTCACAGAGTTTGCCCATGAGAAAGTACACGACCCTCCCGGGCCCCTCCGTCAACGTGGACCAAGTTGCCGGACCATGAGGAGGTAGCGGAACATTGGTCGTGATAGTGGATGCCATGGTCTCGGCATGTCCGGATATCAGAGAGGTGACGCGGCTCGTAGGAGGGCGGGAAACAGTTGAGGTTATCAAGGTCATCGCATTACGCCGAAGGTTGTCTAAGAATACGTCAAGAATACGTGCTACAAATGTAGGTTCTGGAACGCGGACAATTACCAGTCCCAAGGTGTGTCCAATGCCCCATGCGACCGAGCCGGCGGCACCAACAAATACATGATTCTTACATAATGACACATTTTTCGTCGCTGTTGAGCCGCCGGGTGACTTCATCTGCGTCCATGCCTCGTCGACCTTGAGCCTCGCCGCCCAAGTGCACAACCAGCACACCCTCGTTCTGGGAATCGAGTTCGGCTGCGAACGAGTATCTGCGACGTGTTGGTCAGGTAAAGCCTTAAGATTAGCAGCGAGTTGTACGGACTTTGCCATTAGTTGCTCGATCGCGGGCTTGATCTTGGCGACGTGGTTCTTAGAATGCAGTCCCTTGCCGACAATGACGCGAAGGTTAGAACCGCCCCGGGATTGGGCAGCCTGGAGAGCCAATTCCGTCCGTTCGATGGCCTCCTGTACATAAAGGCCATGAAGATCGATGGTTCCAGGTGGAGAAGAGGAGTTATTCGCTGCAGCTTACTGTTAGTCACTAGCCATGTCAAATGTCCGAGAGGACCGTACCTGCGAAGATCCAGTCGGCTGCCTCCCTGTTCAGTTGCTCCATTTTCTCCTTATGTGCGCGTCCCTCATTGCTCAGTTGCTTCGCTGCTGCCCCATCCCCACTCTCGTATGTCTCGTGTGCTCGATCAAAGCATGCCGACATCTTGTCCCCCTCTTCGTTCGCCTGTGCACGTAGAGCTGCATAGTGCGGGTCCTCAGCATGTTGCATGTCGCCGTTCATTATCGGCCCATAAGGGCGTGGAGATGGTGAGTGCCCATAAGCTCCAGGAGCAGGTGAATGCCCATGCGGACGTGGAGATGGTGAATGCCCGTGCGGCTGAGGAGAAGGGGAGTGCCCTTGCTGGGGCTGAGGTTGAAGCCCTGACTGCTGCTGCTGAGGTGGTCCCTGTTGCCATTTACCTTCTGCAGGTGTCGGCCATTGTTGCTGCTGTTGAGGCGGTGGCTGCCACTGAGGCTGTTGGGTGGTAGGATAGTATTGCTGCTGCTGCTGCTGCTGCTGCTGCTGCTGCTGCTGAGGCGGCCCCCATTGCCCTTGCGGCCCGTACTGCTGTTGTTGCTGTTGCCACGCTCCCTGCTGCTGCTGTTGGTCTTGCGGCGCCTGAGGTGCGCACAGCAATTTTTGCAGCAATGTCAAGAGATCAACCACAATCCCTGCCATATTGCCCTAGAGATTGTCAGAGGAGAATAATGCACAGCAAGACGGTGGTCGCGAGCAAGTCGAGCGGTGGTCAGTGAGGACCACGTCCCTGGGTGGTCATGTGACCGGGGCAGTACGAGAACGTAGATCCATAACATTTTACAAGCAATACGAATGGAGTTGTGTATATAAACTGTCCTGTCCTGCAGTGATTTCTTGATTTAAACCTCTTCGACACGACCCGCATGTTTCTCCACAACCTCGCTACTGTCGCTATTAGCCAACGTGGAAGGTGTACGCCTTTTCCCATTTCCCATGTTCGACTGGGTGAGAATGAGAGGGCCGTGTGTTAGCTCAGAAGTGATGTGGTAAGAGCCGTCGCTGTCCCATAATCCTTTCCAATTTATAGCCCACACGCGAGCAACAGGGTCAGGTGGCGATTGATCCTAACTAGCTTAAGTGTCCACAGCAGTACAGGAGAAAGGGAAGACTCACGAAATCGTCAACATCTTGCCCTGGGTTGAGTTTCCAGTACTCGATATGTTTCAAGAACGCATAAAGAGAAGTCGCAAGTAGGGATCCCAAAAATGGACCGAGCCAGTACTGTCGACTTCTGAGCGGTTGATATGAGACATCACCAACATGGAAGACCTACCACCCAGTGATCCGAATTAAAGCCCGACACGACGGCCGGGCCAAAAACTCGGGCAGCGTTCATTCCCGCTCCGGTGTACACTACTCCGAACAAGTGGCAAGCGAAGAGCGTCATGCCGATTCCGATCGGAGCAAACGCCGTACTACGATCTTTTTCGACTGCTAGCCTGTCATACAGTCAGCACATCGCATTTTGCACACACAAAGACAGACATCAGGACGGCAAGTACCAAGAAACTAGTAAGGAACATCTCGATAAATACCCCCTGTGCAGTGTTCACGTTCGGCCCTAAGGAGGGTGTAACGTTCAACTGTCCAGGGAGCAGCCCGAGTAGAATAGCAGAGGCAGCGATGGCCCCCAAGATCTGGGCCAGGCAGTAAAGGATGAAGCGAATGGGACCGATGGCGCCGACAAGTAGAAGGGCGGTCGAAACTGCCGGGTTGAAAACGCCACCTGTGACGCGAAAGAAGAGCCAGGCTAGAGAGCCTCAGTGCGGGATTAATAGACAGAATAGAGCTCATACCTGACACCAGCAACCCAAGTCCCATGGAGGCGGCGATGTAGACCAGGTGTTCGACTGACGGCACTGGATTGACCGGCACGGCACCCCCAGTCACGGAAGACATTGATGCGGCTTGTATGCCGCCCATGCCAATGACGAGAAACACGATCTACAGAAATGATAAATAAATAAAAATGTTGACCATGGTGGGCAGGCGGGACACTCACAGTTCCTATAAACTCGAGGAAAGCGGCGATCAGGTCATTCCTGAGGTCACGGAAAAGAGTGTGCGAGTCCATGCTCTCACAAAGGCAGCGGATTGTTGGGGTATATTGGGTATGATTTGTTGTCCGTTTCGTCGATGGCCGGAGGGGTTTAAATACGTCTCAAACGGCAAGAGAGACTCAGGGAAAAAAACAGGAGGTGGACCAAGGAACAGGTGCAGCACCATAGACAGCAACCAAGTTTCCATATCACGGAGCATAGGAGGGCAAAAGACCGCTAGATGCCTTAGCCATCCACCTTGGTTGTACTTGGACAGAGAAGTGAGAGGATAGAGAGCTACGTGGAGAGCGCGGCAGAAGGCCAGATACAAAGCAAGCCACCATCATTGTACGCAGCTATACCGTTGTGAAGATAGAGTTCCCGCCCAAAAAAATTGTCGTCTCACTGTGCATCTTCAACGGAAGTGCATCGCAAAAGATGCAGCAGCCTTATGCATTTTTTTTGCGTCATTGTCTCTCCCAGACTCGAAGTCGCGTCAAAGACAGCTCAAACTCTTTTCTAGAGCGCTCGTCCATTCCTGCAAGGATAGTAACCGTAAACCAGAAAGCATAGATCCGATTGTATTCTTTGACTTCAATCGACGGCATTGCGGGATACGGCTTGATGATTGTTGGTCAGAAGGCGGTTTGCGGAAGACCATGCGGCTGGCGGAAGAGCACGCGGTTTGCGGAAGAACACGCGGCGTGCGGAAGACCAGGCAAGCGATGGAGATGTGACGGCAGGAGACAAGGAGACCCATATTTCGGTTCTTTGATAGATACGAGGAGAAATATGTCTGTGAGTTTGTCATCAAAGAAATGAATAGCAGTTGCGCGGATAACGATTCGCCTTTCCAGGTGAGGATGCAGAGGGTGGTGACGGCTGATGAGCGCCCGTTGGCTAGGAACACGAGTCCCTGACTTAGTCACGTGGAGCGAACTCATTTCTGGAACAAAGAGTGATTGGGTGAGCGTTCACCCTAGAAAAAAGAAATACGATTTCACCGGCTCCAGCAACAGATAACTTGCCCGAACGGTCTTACGGCCGTACAATGCCCTTTCCCCAATTACCACTTCACCGCCAATCCCACAACCTCACTCTCAACAGCCCTATAATGGGTGCGAAATGCGTTCCGTCTCTTCCGCTCAGCCGCATCGTCCATCCGACTGGCCCAGCCTGCACGGTCCCCCTTGTCCACTGGATGACAGAGCTCATCCAACACACGCATGGCGAGCGCGTCAGCCTTCCGATGCTTTTCCGAGCCAGTGGGCCAATGGGGCAGGGCTGGCGATCCTTCGTCCGGTGATGGAGGAGGAGTCGGCAAGCCCGTCTCATCAGTCCAATAGGCCTCCTCCGTCCTCCTCAGCCAGGCTTTGTCACCCCAGCGTGAACTCGCACCCCCATTCGGTGTTGGCGCAGGAGAGGGAGAGTCCAGCTGGACACCTTCGTTCGTCCAATCACGCACGAAGCCTTCCTCGTCTGTAATTGATTTGACCACATCCGAGGGCTTCATCTGTCCTCCACCATTGACACATCCACCTGGGCAGGCCATCACTTCGACAAAGTCGTACGCATTGTCACCTTCTGTGGTGGTCGCACCAGGCCGTAAGCGTCGACGCGCTGTGGCGCCTGGTAAGCGGCCCAATGCACCCTTGCCCGTCACAACGCCTGCGTCTCGGGCTACTTTTCGAACGAGGTTTTGCAGGTTCCGGAAGCCGTAGCACGTTGCTGCTCGAAAGACGGGCTGGGACGGGCCCGCTTCCTCAGTCTGAGCTGGCTTGAGGGTGTATTCAACGTAGTCGGCTGAGCCGCGCACTGCACAGGTTTCTAGTACCAATTTGGTGGAAGACGAGGTCACGATGGAGTGGATGAGTGAATGGAGGTAGGAGCCGGAGGTCGATCCAGGATGGGGAACAAACGAAGGGATCTCGTAATCCGCAGCGAATGATTCGGAGGGGGCAGGCTGGGACAAATCGAATCCCTTCTCTCGTAAGAGTAGGGCCAGCTCCCCAGTAGTAAGTACACAGTCCACGTCCCGTGTCGAGTACTGTTCGTTGTAAAAATCTTGTCTTGATGCCTCAAGTTTCTTGTCGTAGCACGGCATAACCGTGACGTGATATATTTGTTCCGGGCTGCAAAATGACTTAGAATTGGATTCAGGGCTGTGGGAACAATCACCCTACCTTGCTCCCCACTGACTGCCCAGCCACTCCTTCACCAATGTGCCCATGATCTGCTGCGGGCTCTTCACTCGGCTCATGAAGGGCAACATTTCCCCATGAGTTTTCTCCGCATAGCACACCCACCCCGGGCACGCACTTGCTAGCATAGGCAGGCGCTCCTCAGCCCCTTCTCCGCCATTACCCTGCCGCTTTGCTTCAGCTCGCTCCGAGAACTCGACTGCTTGCTCAAGATGCGCAATATGTCGTGCAAAGGTGGTGTCATAGGTCCGGAAGAAACCTAATTGTGAGGCGAGCTGAGAAATGCGGTGCAGATGGGCTGAGATCGGCGGCGAGGGTGAGAGGGAGGCAGAAAGGGAGGCGAGAGATTGGGGAGAGATCGATAGAATGGGTATTCGGTGCCCGGGGGCAGAGTACGGAGGGTTGGTGGAGAGGAAGTTCAGCACTTCCTCATGGGATTGTAATGTGATGAGCACCGATTCGGCAGACGTGATACAACCGCTGCAGTTCGGTCAGTACGTCTCCAGCCTTCCTTCCACCAATTCACACACCTGCAAGCCAAACAATCGTTCAAACTAATCTGGGCCGTCTCAAGTTTCTTCCTGCTCCCACTACTCCCCACAGCTCCCTGGGCAACCTCGTAGTACCCACCTTGTGCATCGACCTCGATCTGCGTTGCAGCCGCCCCAGGCTCTGCAACGGGCTTGTTAAACTGTTCCACAGGCTTGATGCATGCTTGTGAGGGGTTAATAAAGTCGTTCAAGTCGGTCAGCGTGAGTGCTCCTGAGAAAGCCATAGTTCTTCTGTGTGCTGCAAAGAGGGCTGGGCCGGGGAGAAGGCGCTCACAATACTTCAAGTTGGAGGAGAACTTAGCTAGCACAAGGGCGGCTCATTCAGGGTCATTATGAATCACAGCCGGAATCAAAAATTAACTTTCCGGGGTATCAGAGCTCCACTCCGATAACCCCGAGAGGCCAATAGAGCCGCCCTCATTGTATGAGCGCCCATTCAAAGTCATTTAGCCACAACTGATTGTCGGACAAACGGACGAAAGGCGGTGTACAGCCCTAAATCCAGGGAAGCTACAATACGTGGTGATGCTCGTTCTCGTGCCATAAGTTTGCGCTTGAATCAGTATGAATTGCAGCATTCAGACATGGGCTTCATGCGAGGTATGTATGTAGGTATATCTGACGTAACGAGAAAGCGGGATAGGGAAAGCACACTCGAGAGCAAGCAAGCCAAAGCTCCGTTTGCTACCGAAGCGTGTGAAGGGGGCTACACAACAACAATGGCCGGGAACGTATCGAATGCGGGCAGGTGGAGGGAGCGCAAGAGGTGCAGTGAGATTGGAGAGAGGGAAAGCGTGCTTGCAATGAAGGACAGTGGCGATTGCTGGAGGAAGAGAGGAAAGGGGCGCATGGGGTCATGAGCGAACATATATATATAACAGAGTGGGCTTGCCTGAAGGGAAGGGAGATGGAGGAAGGCAGAAAGTGGCGGATGCGATGAAACAGTGGAAAGTGCGACTAAAAGGTGGTCGTGAGGTAATATGTTGGTAGACGATTTTTGGGTGGACACAGGGGTGACAGAGCAGGTACGGCCGGAGATGTGGGGTATATGCGCTTTGAGAGATCATCGTCACTAGAAGGCATGCAAGTTAGCTATCTGCATACATCACATCGATATCACGCGAACCTTCTACTGCGGCCATCCGATGCTTATCAATATGCAAGGTTCCCATCCAGCACGCCACGGACATCTTCGACATCCTTGATATCTTTCAAGAACGGACACAGATCTGTCAATTCAGTGTCGTGCGGGTCGTTGAACCAGCTCGTCACGGGCACTGCATTGTTCGGATGGAAGATGTAGCTTGCCGGGGAGTTATCGAGGATGATCATGTCTTGGATTGGTCGCCCGAGACGAGACAGGTCCTTCACGTAGTTGCCTTTGTGGTTGTAGCAGCTTTCGCGGAAAAGGCGGTGAGAGATGACACGGTTTACATCTAGCTTGTCCAGTACGGGATCGGCATACTTGGATAAGGATGCGGTGAAAACGACGACTTCGTAGTGGTCGCCCATTTCCCGTAGGAATGCGTCAACTCCTGGGCGCTTGATACAGTACACATTGTGCCATTGCCATTCGATCTCAACGGGGACGACATAATCGGCATGGGGTATCATCTATATAGATTGTCAGATCCTGAGCTATCCGCTCTGTATAGTAGAAGTACCTTGAAGCTGCTATGCAGCAGGGTTTCATCTAGATCCAGCACCAGGCACTTGCGACCAGCCAGCTTTGCCTCCAGGGGCGGTAATAATGGTCTTGCCACACCATCCTAATTATCGCACGCCATCAGATGTTGCCAAGATATGCACCAGTTGTTCACTTACGGGTCCTATCGGAATCCCTGCACCTCCTTGCCTGATTAACCGTGCATCTTCGTCCTCTTCCTCTTCCATCTCCTCCTCTTCACCAATCTCATGCCCTTCTTCGTCACCTTCTCCACCTTCATCCTCCGTGAAAGCAGGACTGCTCCCTTCGCTAGCAGTAGTTGCTTCCTCATGCTCGTCCTCGCCCTCGTGATGCGCCCGTCTTCGTCCTCCCCGTATCGAGTGTTCACGTATGCTGGGATCACGGTTATCTTCCCTTCCAGTCGACCCTGGAGGCTGAACTGCGCCAGATGTGACGAGTCCTGTCTCGCTGGGAGGGAGGAGAACCTTGGGGGATGGGGGGATGATGACGGTGCTGTTGGGGGGAGGTGTGTGTGGACGAGACGGAGGGTTACTGGGAGGAGTAAGGGGCAAAGGGAGCGAATCCAGCGACTTGTCACCTGATGTGACGTTGATCGTCGGGGTAGGGACGAGCGCTTCATCTCCTGCTACTTTGGGCGGAGTATCCTGCTTAGAGACACCCGATCGATCCTTTTCCACCATCTGCACGGACTCCTGGTTATTCGTGCCAGCGCCAGCACTCGGGAGATCCAGCTCGACATGTTTTGATTTCGGGGAAGGGATACAGGGAATAATCGCAGCGAGTGAGTGCCACCATGGGGACTTTCGCTGGTGCTGCTGGGTACCAGTTGACCGTCCGGCGGTGGAGGCGCCCGGACGTTGGCGAGGGCCGTTCCCAGAAACGGATGCGTTGGCAGGGCGCGGTGTGGGCTGGTTATGCGACGAAGAGGAGGATGAGGCGGTAGTATTCATGCTGGCTTCCTTTGTGGTGTCTTGCTTGAGCGGGATGGAGAGGGATAGGTTTGAGCTGTCTGGGGCTTCCATATGATCGGTATGGGTGCTTTATTGGAAAGAGTGATAAGGAGAAAGGGGTTCTTTCGCCGAGCAGACGGTAAAGAAAAGGTAGGTGGCCGTCGCGGATAAAGAAAGGAGGAGAAGGAAGAGGGAGGAGAAGGTGATGATGAATGATGGGGGGAGGAGGAGGGGAAGATGAGGAGGGACGACGGGCAAGGGGTGTGTGAATTGGTCCGCGAGCACAGAGTCGCCTTTGCCCCCTAGGGGGACTGAGGCCCTTCCAAAGTTGCGCGCGTCCAAACCCACCAAAACACGTGGGCCCGCCTGCACTTTTGATTCCGCCTTTCAACCGACATCCCGAGTACTACCTTCCCTGTTAACGTTCCTCAACATCTTTCCATCCGAATTTCTCTATAGCTTTGGGGAATCATATCCACTAGACGCCCATCGGGTTCTGTAAGTAGATCCTGTGTAAGGGAAGTGAAAATGACGCTGTTATGTGGGAGCGTACGACGGCATGGAATGTCTCCGGCGATGGGTGAACTACATCGGCCCGCTTTCGCGTGTAGTCCGGCGCGACTTCCGACCTCGAGGATCACGCAGTGCGACCATGCAAACAGCGGGCGACAATGCCCGCAGGATATGAGGGGGCATTGACTTGCGCAAAGGGGACGATTAAGGGCATTGTAGTGCATTGTTATATACCATCATCGAAGAATGCGGGGCGTGGGAGACGGCAAGTCAAACGCCTGGGGTTCACCCCAAACTGCGCTGCCTCCGAACGAACCCCACGACGTACGGGCCTTTTGAGCCCTAAGTGCTTCGCAGAAATAGCGCATCCTTACGTGAACTATTTGAGAATAGACCAGGCGCAGCATGTGCAGATAAAAGTGTCTTTCTCGGGCCCGGGGAGGCGCAGCATGACTATCAGAGCGATGCGCGTGGACCCTGGCCTATTACGAGTCGTCATCCAAGGTCCTTGTCGGTCCCTGAACTTGTTGCTTAGCCTGCTTGCTACTGTACATGCCTAAGCGCCTCTCTGGGGCGGCGTATGCCCGCCCAGCCCTTCTCATACCAGCGCTGCTCCTACTTTTGAGATTCTCACTCATCCTCTCTCCGCTGAGTCCCTGGCTAAGGGATGACCATCAACTAGCATCACCATTGACGAGCTTCACGCGTTGTACGTGTTTAAAAGTGCACGAGTTCGCGGCGGTCGTATGCTGACGCACTGCTGCATAGTAAAGGAAGGAATCTGGTTTTTCCAGAAAGGTATTGATCCGTACCATGGTGGTGTCTTCCGTCATGTACGCGCTGTCCAATACACCATCTTTACATGCTGATGAATGTCTAGTCTCCGTTAACCCTCGCCCTCTTCACCCTCATCCCACCAATACCGTTGGTTTCCGCACTTTTATGGACAGTAGCGGACGGAATTGCTGCATGGTGCCTGGCTGAGATCTGGAGGGCACGGATAGCACCTAGAGGGCACGATGGAAGAGGGGTACTACTGGCATCTCTGTGTGTACTTTCTCCTACAAACAACGTCGCCCCAAGTAGGACTGACTTCAAAGCTTAGATATCTTTCCAAGCCTTACAACTTCCTTCCGACCGTAGCCCTTTCTTCGTCTTCTCTCGACAATGCTTTCTTGCTCCTTGCCCTTCGCTTCGCCGCACTGCAACAAGTTTCCCCCTCACTGATCCTCCTCGCCGTGCTCTCCTTCTCATCTCTGCCCTCCATCTTGCTCCTCCCACCGCTGGTGATGATCTTGCTTGCCGGCCCGAAACCCACTGTGCCCCTTCCAAAGTATAGCCCCAAGACCGCGCTGCGAATTGTGGCCGAGTTCGCTTTGTATATGGTGGTGTTGACCGGGGCGAGCAGATTCGTCGCTGGGAGTTGGGGTTGGGTGCTCCAAACATGGGGTGCTACGTTCGTTCCCGATGTCTTTTCCAGAAATACACTCCCTGACCATTACCCGCACAGTGTCATGTTACCCGATCTTACTCCCAATCCCGGTCTGTGGTGGTACTTTTTCACGGAGATGTTCGATCAATACCGACCCTTCTTTCTTCTCACCTTTTCCGTGCGTATATTCCGTTTCTTTCCAAAAATAACTCATTCAATTTTCTGCGTTCATCTCCGCAGTTACACCCTCTCATCTATGTTGCTCCAATGTGTCTGAAGTTCCAGTGCGTCCCCGTCGGATTCCGTATTGCAATGCACGGCTGACATCAGAGGGCCGATCTGCACAGACATGATCCCCTGTTTGCCTTCTTTCTTCTGCAAGGCATCATCTCGACATTCAAGTCATACCCGACTCTGTCCGATGCTGGCCTCTACATTTCCCTGCTCGGTATATTTCCGGAAATCTATTCCCGTAAGTCGTGACATTCCAGCCCAGTTCATCATTCTAATCCGGACAGACTTCCGCCATCCGCTGGTCACGGCACTGCTGCATCTTCACGCCGCCCTCCTCCTCCCCCTATTCCACTATCTATGGCTTGACGCCGGTACCGGGAATGCCAATTTCTTCTATGCCTCGACCCTCGTGTTCGGCTTGGCGAACGGGTCTACCATCGTTGAAGCCCTCTGGGCAGGACTGCACAGCACGATAGGCGAGAAGGAGGGGTGGGAGGTTGTACAGCTCTAGCACCCGGCGATGCGCTCACGCAATCCTATTAATCAGAAAGTCAAACGGATACGTGTGTCAAGTGGGGAATTGTTTCGATTTTCCGTTTTGGGGCAAGTAAATAGCGCCGAAGAGTTCCCGGCACTCAAGCTTTAAACAATGCACCATCACGTCTTGGTCAAAATGATAACGGTCCAGGGACTGTCGACTGCGCTTTCAACATCGGGTGATCCAACCACCACACACATTCACAGTTTGGTTTTATCTTCCCAGGGCCGTCTTATATAAACAGACTACGAGCGGTGTTTCCTCCGCTCGTTCCCGAGCCCCATCTCCTCATGCACAACACAGCTATCGTGCTATGGGAACAAAATTCCACTCATCCCGATCATGGATACTGAATGAACCAGGCGCATGCCCGAAACAAAATCCACTGACCAATAGCAAAATTCCCTATTGAAACGACCTTATTGATGCAAGAAAACTCGTACGACAAACAAGGCGATGTAATGCACAGCCTCACCGGTGACCCGCCACATTCACCGTTTCCCTGCCATGCCAAGCAACGTAAACCGAGCACTGAACCGGTCGGCCCTGGTCGTAACTCCTGGTCGTAACTCTCCCTAAGCACCTTCATAATATGACCATATCATGTTGATGTTTTGGGAACAGGATTCGCCTGAGGGCCGTCTGCGCAGCAACGCCCCACGCTGTCTTGGGCGGTCCGTGGCACAGAAACAGCGCCTCCAAGCAAACTCTTGTTTTTCTCTTGCGCAGTTGGGTGGTTAGTCGCCTGGATGTTATATACTCAAGGCGGAATGGACAAGCAGAGTAGCCCCTGTGAAGCCGTATCCCCTTCCCTTCCCTATCTTCTTCCATCTCTGTTTGGGTCTTCAGCTCGCGAACAAAATGGTCTCCACGCGGTTCTCTACTGCTACTAGAATGGCTGCACTTGCAGCGTTCGCTATTTCTGGTGTGCAGGCCCAGACCGGCGACTCTATGTGCAACTTGCATTTCTGTATCACTGCAATCTTGAATGGCAGCACGACAACTTGTACGTTGTGCTCCGAAATGCTCTTTCTCGGTTCTGACTTGGTTGCCCCACAGTCGAAGTTCTTATTCCTTCAAGTGCAGATCAGATAGGATGGATTGGAACAGGTTTCGGAACCCAGATGCCGGGTTCCCCTTTGGTTGTTTTGTGGCCGAACGCGGACGGCACCGTGACCTTGTCACAGCGGATGGCGAGCGACTACATCATGCCCACCGTGCAAGCCAATCCTCCTCGTGTCGCCACGCTCTCTCAGCAACTCACCACCCTTGGTGTGAGCGAGACTCGCATCACCTACACAATCCCGTCGGATCAGAGTACTCAGCAGAACCTGTTATGGTCCATTTCCTCCGCAAGACCGCCTTCAAGTGCAGTGGACGCGCAGCTCATTCAGCATTACGACCAAGGCACATACACCCTTGATCTGTCTAAGCCCCTGTCCGCCTTAGCCCCATCATTGACAAGCTCATTCCCACCTGCACCCTCGGCGACTTCCGTTGCCAGCGACGATGACAGCAACAACGGCGGCCCTACGCTTACCGAAAATCCTTTCACACCGGCTGATACCATGATAGTAACTCATGCGGTACTATGCTCACTCGCCTTCGGAATTCTCATGCCATTGGGTTCACTCTTCGCCCGCTTGGCACGGACGTTTATCCCTCAATGGTTCATCATCCACTGGGTCATCAACTTCTGGATTGCTCTGCCCCTCGCGGTGGCCGGGGTTGGGTACGGAATTCATCTGGTGAACAATAGTCACGTCCCGCACTTGGACACCAACCACACAGTAAGTGCCACTGCTCTCACAATCTTACTCCTGCTTACAGAATCGGCAGCGTGCCGGTGTTGCTGTCTTTGTTCTTGCCTTCGTCCAATGGACCCTCGGTTTTATCATCCACTACCTCAAGCCCAAGGCTGGTTGGTCTGCCCGCCCGCCGCAGAACTATGCCCATGGTGTTCTGGGTGTCGTGATCATCGCCCTTGCTTTCTACACCATCTACGCTGGTTTCACTCAACAGTGGCCACTTATTACCGGACGCAGTTACCCGCATGGGATCATTATCCTTTATGGGGTTTGGGTAGCGATTATCGCGCTCGCGTATGTGGCGGGTATGACCCTGCTGCCGAGGCAGTACAGACAGGAGGCAGACCGGCAGGCAGAGAAAGACCGGTCGGGTTCGGACATGATCGCCATGCGACCTTGATCTTCTCAAAAGATACACTCTTTCTCTTCCCTTTCCTCCTGTACTCATAGCTAGATGTCGGACAATGTCATCCACACTCATAACATGCGCATCTTCTCCTGTAGCCTATCATTGAAAGGGAATGGAAATAGTATTCTTACTCAAACGAAGTACAAATTAGAGATACAAGTTCCTCCGAAAGCCAGGATCTAAATGTAAACGAGCCCGTTCATTAGGGCCGAGCTCTGCCACGGCCAGCAGCTACGGACGGCCGTGGCATCATAGATGATCGAGGTTTCGACGCATCACCAGTGGTAGAAGAGACACCCCGACCCCTGGGAGCCGTGGTTGTAGTCGTTCCCCTCGTTCCCCGCACCCCTCGTACTCCTCTTACACCACTTACGCCCCGACCTCTGCCGCGGGAACCCATCGCTTCCTTCCGCTCTCGCGCCTCGCGTTCCTGTTCTTCTCGCTCCGCTTTAGCGAGTCTCTCGCGTTCTTCACGCTCTTTCCGCTCTTTTTCTTCCCTTGCAATGCGTACACGTTCCTCGTGCTCTCTTTGTCGTTGTTCGAGGATAGCGAGCTCATCCTGGAGTTCATTGAGAATGGATGTGAAATAACTGGGAAGAGAACTCACAGCTTCAGCGCCTTGCCATTCAGGATTCAGCACCAGCTCTTGTGTATGTTGCGCCTGGCCGAGGATAGCGACATACTTGTCGAGTAAAGCGTTCGTACGATCCACCTGTGCTGCTAGCCGCTATACAACTTCTTGTCAGCCACACACACGACAGTAAACAGAGAAAATACTCACAGAATTATGATCTTTTGCCGCCTCCAGCGACGTCAGATAGTCGGAAAAGACCTGATTAAGCTGCTTGAGCTCAAACAGCTCCGTCTCGAGCCTCTCGGCCCTATTCGTCCGAGGCCCTCGTGTCCTCCTCTCGGCCTCACCATCCATCTCTTCCTGCAAGCCGCTTTTCCCTGCAATGCTCTTCTCAATTAGGCGAGAGGTTGAAGCAGCTGGCTGGTCACTCCCTGCAGCCTGAGCTCGTGGTGGTTGATCCGGAGTCTCAGCGAACAAGCTGAACGGTTTCTGCGCCCGAGGTGTATCCGGCCCAGCGAGATCAGACAGGGATAGATCCTTCAGGTCAACAAGATCATCTTGTGAGGATAAGTGCGGCGTTGGTGGCGAGTCTGTGAGCGACATGATCGTGCAGAATTTGAGAAGCGACGGACAGTATGATGGTTGGAATGAAGATGAAATGCTGGACGCGTTCGCGTCGCCGGAAGTAAAGACGCGTCAGATTCGTTGGTGCGCCCAACCCAACCTCTCCGTGTTTCCCAGATATGCATATGGTAACGGAGAATACAATAAAAGTGCATGAGATATACTGTCCTATGCAAAGAATGCTGCTGAACACTGTCATGTCAAATCCAACTACACCCCCTCAACACGGTTGGCCTTCGGGTTGTCCACCCCAGATCCGTTATCCACCCCCCAGGAATCGCCCCTCGACTCATTCATCGGCACGAAACTGTCTTCCGTCTCACCCGTGCCCGAATTACGGGCGTTGCTACGCGACCCACTGACCCGCCGTGCCCGCGCGACAGGGTCGGCCGGCGATTGATGCTAGCACGCAACGTTCAGAGAGTGTTCACTCTAGAAAGAAGAATACCTACGAAATCGTCCACGTCTTGATCTGGGTTCAGTTCCCAGTACTTGATGTGTTTCAGGAAGGCGTATAGGCCTGTCGCGAGCAGAGAACCTAGGAATGGGCCTACCCAGTACTGGCAGTTTCTCAGTAGCTGACAGGACAAGCGAGAAGGGAACGTACCACCCACTGCTCGTGGTTGAATCCGGAGACGACGGCGGGCCCGAATGCACGGGCAGCGTTCATCCCCGCGCCGGTGTACAGTACTCCAAACAAATGGCACGCGAAGAGCGTGAGGCCGATACCGATAGGGGCGAACGCTGTCGAGCGGTGTTTTTCTGCCGCGAGCCTGTGTCTGTGTTAGCTAGGGAGCTTCAGATTAGAGGGGACAGACATGAGCACTGCGAACACTAGGAAACTGGTGAGGAACATCTCGATGAACACGCCTTGTGCTAGGTTGACGCCCGGTCCTAGGGAGGGGGTGACGACCAGCGGCCCGGGGAGCAGTCCGAGTAGGATGGCGGATGCTACAATGGCGCCTACGATCTGGGCCAGGCAGAAGAGGATGAACCGGACTGGCCCGATCGCCCCTATTAGGAAGAGGGCGGTCGCTACTGCCGGGTTGAATACGCCGCCTGTGACGCGGTAGAAGAGCCAGACTGGGGCGCGTGAGTGAGCGCAAGCCAGCAAGAGAGGGCTTACCAGCTACTAGGAGCGCGAGACCCATCGAGACGGAGATGTAGAGCAATTGCTCGATTGAGGCTACAACATTTACGGATTGTGCCCCGCCCGTGTTGGACGCCGCTGCGAGGAGGGCGGAAGACGTTGCGGCTGCTTGGATACCTCCCAGGCCGATCATGAGGAACACGACCTGGAACCATGGTCAGGACTCGCCCATCAGTCGGAGGATATCTAGGAACTCACAGTCCCTACGAACTCGAGCGCAGCTGCGGTCAGGTCATTCCTCAGGTCACTGAACAGAGAACGCGAGTTCATCTTTTTCCACCTGGCGTGTTTGCCGGTGGTTTGCTTTGGCTGCACGTCCATCTTTCTGTGGGCAGTCGAATGCAAGCTGGAAAGGAACCGGAACGAACGAGGGGATGGAGCGTCAGCTAGTATTTCAGGGGGCAAGGGGGAACAAGCGGGTGGAGACGCGATAAGGCCTGGACTTGTATCAGGGGAGGAGAAAGCGAGACATCCTTTCCAGCCTTGTAGTTATTTTTGGTGAGGTCATTCGATCAGTGTGTCGTACACCGGTTGTTGTGGTGGTGCGGCATGTTAAGCCACCAGCACCACCCTAGGCTCTGCGTTACGTTCATGAACATTACAGGTAATGCTCTCCGAGACTGGGAACAGGAAGGTCCATATACGCAGTCCGAGCAGCCCAGGAGGCGCCGATCGAGCCAGAAGCACGGGTGAAGGTCTCGGATGCCGAGCAATCGATGTCCAGTATCTCGTACGGATGCTAACTATCAGCACAGATCCTTCCAAATCTCGCGGCTCTATTTGACGACATCGAGGATGCTGCATTGTAGGGGTTGTAGGGGGCGGCTTGCAGAGGACCAGAAGAGAATGGAGAGAGACGACGAGCAGCAGACGAGATAACGCTGTGTGTTTTAGTGCGCTGATCCAGTCACAACAAACAAGAGTGTTCTTATGTTTATTTCATCAGAGGAGTGTTGCACATGACCAGAAGTATTGACAGAGAACAATGATGATGGAATGATTGCTGTTCCAGACAAGAGAGACAGAAAAGAGAAAGAGAGACGCGTGATGACATCATTTCGCATCCTTGGCGCCAAGCCTTTCCTCACAGCGCCCAGCAACTCCGCCACAGAGAAATGAATGCAGCTCAGCATCTTGGCGTTCATATCACCGCCCCCACCCCCTCTGGGTAGGCTCAATCCTGCATTCCTCATATCAATATCCTTCATTCTTGTCTTCGAGTAACTGCACCCAGCCCGCCTAGCACTTAACACGAGCACAAGACAGAAAAGACATGCACCGTCCAAGCGCGTATCGCGGTATGAGCGTGCTCATGGCGGTTGGGAGAGCAGCACCTACCTTGGCACGCGCCTTGTTTCCCTACAGTCGACAGGATGAGGACGGAAGTTCTGGAATGCATACGTTCACAAAGAGAGACCAGCATGATGCGGGCACGTCATTCCTAAGGAGTTGAGACTTGGCTGATGTCTAGCAGCTTTCATCGTTCAAGCGGTGATGATACCCGTTCTGGTCATCCTTTCGGGAATATTTGCTGGTGCGTTCCTTGCGCTCCTGGATGACATTATACTGATACGTTGGAAGGACTCACGCTCGGGTACATGTCGCTCGACGAGACGCAGCTGCACGTTCTTTCCGTATCCGGCTCTCCAAAGCAAAAAAAATACGCTCGACAGATCATGCCTATACGAAAGAATGGGCATCTGCTTCTCGTACGTCCTCACATCCCATTTGTGCCATCGCTGATAAGGCTGTCAGACAACCTTGCTCATCGCTAACATGATCGTGAACGAGACTCTGCCCGTCGTATCGGACAACGTGCTCGGCGGAGGCGTCGAAGCTGTCGTAATCTCCACAGTACTGATCGTCATGTGCGTCTTTCTATCCCAGTCCATCGTTCAGCACTCAACGCGCGCAGCTTCTCGGAGATCATTCCCCAATCCGTGTGCTCCCGGTATGGCCTCGCTATAGGCGCGAAGATGGCCCTCCCGACGCGTTGCCTCATCTACCTGCTCGTGAGCTGCAACTTTTCCCACATATCCGGTGTGCCTCCGTCCTCACCAAATGCACAGTTCATCGTCTCCTGGCCAGTGGCCAAAGTGCTCGAGCTCATCCTCGGCCCGCACCAAGGCATCATCTACCGCCGACAAGAGCTGAAAGAGCTCATCAACATGCATCTTGCCGGTGAAGGGGGGAAAGGTGACCTTGCCGGGGATACGGTCAACATGGTTGGCGGAGCGCTGGATTTCCAGGTGAAGAAGGTCGAGGATGCGATGACCCCACTGAGCAAGGTGTTCCACCTCGAGGCGGACGCCAAGCTGGACTATGAGACGCTGGCGATGGTGGTCAAGAGCGGGCACTCTGTGGGTGCCTTCCTGCAAAGTGCGAGTGGATATTGACGGCGCAGCAGCGCATACCTATCTTTGAAACGAACAAGGAAGAAGGGCAGGAACGGATAAAGTGCCTGGGTATTCTTTTGGTCAAACAGGTGAGTCGTCCGCCAGTGGTCTCAGCGTGACGCCTAATTGTGTCTAGTGTGTCCTGCTCGATCCGGAAGATGCCACTCCCGTCCGGTCAATTCCGCTCAACAAAATCCCTATCGTGTCGTTCGACGAGCCCCTGCTGGGCATTCTGGATCGTTTTCAGGAGGGCCGCTCACATATCGCCCTCGTCTCGCGTATCCCTCGTCAACAAGAGCCACAGCTGCAAAAAGTCAACGGGGACGTCAAAGAGCACAAACAGGCGAAGGAGAGCCTGACCCGCCGATTCCTCAACAAGATTCACCTAGGTGACTCGGACAGCGAGGAGGATGAGTCCACGGCGGCCGGTGACATGGAAAAAGGAGGAAGCACGTCGGGGAAAAAGGATGCCGCAGGTAGTAGGTTTTCGAACAATCTCGAGCAGGTCATGCCCGCGGATGCGGTGCTCGATAAGGATGGCGCGGAACGCGTAAGCGATCAAGGATCGTCCGGTGTCTATTCAGGCTTCTGACATACCCGTAGTTCCTCCAGACTCTGGAAGGGAACCCTCTCGGCATCATCACGCTGGAAGATGTGCTGGAAGGTGCGTCCAGGCTCGGTCGATCACCTGCTGCGGATGGGAATACTGATGGGCCATTAGAATTGATAGGCGAGGAGATTCTGGACGAATTCGACCTCACAGGCGCACAGGCTCTCCCAGCATCGTCTTTCGTCCCAGAAGAGGCGAAGCGTGCGGTGGACGCGGCACGTTCTAGCGGGAGGGCGAAGAGGGTCGCACAGGGACTGAGGATCGTCAAGCGTGCGCAGAGTACACCGACATCTGCCACCCAGCTGGGAGAGCAAGATCAGCCCCTTGCTGGAGGGGAGGGCGAGGCGGAGACTCTGGCCACCCCCAGGCCCGCAGGAGTTGATGCCCCTGAAGCCGCTAATTCGGATACGATCGCCCCGTTAACCGAAGAACCAGAAGTCCTCGCTGGCAGCACGCACGCGTCCCTCCCTACGGAGCCGGCTGACGGAGGACAACGGCCGAGGAAGAGCGTGTTCAAGAGTTCCAATAACGAACCATGGGGAGGCCGACGACGCGCTACCGGGACTGGGACGGGGACTGGTGAGCCCGAGAGCGTGAGTGTGGGTAATCTGCATACAGATCGGCATGGGCGAGGCCCTGATAATCCCAGGGAGGGGGAAGATTTCGCTGGGCCTTCCCCTGCGGCTGGCATCTGAGGCCATAAGGAAGGGAAGAGATGCACGGGGAAGGTTGCGGAACTGGACTGACATTCCGCACGCATCTTACTCTTCGCTGGCTTCTGGCGTTGGATTCCGGATTCCGGATGGATTTCGGATTCTTGTTTTTTCACACTTGCGCTTCTGGGCCAAGCCTGTGGCAGACCGGTACCGTGCGAACGGATTCCTACATCGAGGAGTTTCATATACCCATTACAATATCGCGTTCGACAGATGGAACGTGTCCTCGGAAACGGGTGCGAACCTTGTTGCGTGCATGCATATGATCGAGGATTAGAGTAATCGCATGTATACAGTCCATGTACATTTACAGATATAGATATAGACATAGATACAGTTCGTAGCCGCACAATGGATGGACAGGACTTTTGGTCTCCGAAAACTCACAAAAGTTTACGTTACAGCCGTTACAACATGTTACAGGAGCGACGAGTGACGTTACCCCTTGGCTGGATTGGGCAACCGGGGCTCCGGTATCCGGCTGGTTGGCCCGGAGGGCGTGAAAACGGAGTTTAGGAGACTGGTTTGGGTGGACCGGGGTCAGGGTGCGAGCGTGATATGTGGAGAGTTTTATTCATTGCGGGCACGCGGGTGGGCGGATAGAGTAGAGAGTATAGAGTGGTAGTGGTTTGGAGGGAGGCAGGAGGGATGGGAGGATAGATATGGGACGATACGGTGCTGAGCGCACGTGGAGTGTCAGGAGGAGCGGGGAGCGATTGGGCAGCGATTGGGCAGCGATTGGAGAGCGATTGGGTTTTGGTATGGAAGACTGGAACGCTGGAACGTTGGAATGCTGGGATGTTACGGTTACGGTTACGGCTGCTGGAATGCATATGGCTGGAATGGGGGCGGAATGGGCCTGGAAGGTAAGGGACTGGAGGATTAGGATTAGGATTAGGATTAGGATTAGGAATGGAAGGTGGAGCTAGAGCTGGGAGCTAGTGCAGAGTGGTCCACTCACGATCGAGCGAGCGAGCCTGTCAGCCAGGAGGCGGATGAACAGGGGTAACGTGACAAAACTGCAACTCCGGAAGTTGGACTGGTTGATATCTTAACGTGAACTGAGGTTATCGATGGACCTGCCGTGGGGGATACGCTGGGTAGCTATTATTGGCGTGAGAACAAAGTTAGGCGTTACACCACCTTGGGTTGTGTGACGTGAGCCGCTCCGAGACATCCCGCATCCCGCCCCGCACCCGCTGGAGGTGGATGCATGTGGGGTGGGCTGCGTGGGAGCTGACAAAGGGAAAGAGCAACAGGGTCTCGTGAGCTCTTGTTGCTCGTTAGGCGATGCCGGAAAGAACTGCATGGCATGGTACGGGCTGGAACGACTGGAATGGGAGGAATGGGCGTGGAAGGTAAGGGTTAGGCTTAGGCTCTGGATGCTCTGACTGCTCTGGACGCTGACCGGCCAAAAGTCTACAACAGATGCAAGAGCGTGAGAACGGGGTTTAGGTTTAAGGAAAGTGTGAAAGTGTGGCGTTACACTCCGTCTTTCGTTCCCTTTTGTTGCGTGGGCTTCCGTGGCATGGCATGGCATGACGGTGACAGCGGGGCTCCGAGACATCCCGCATTCCGCCCGCCCGCCCCGCATCCGCTGGAAGTGGGAATTTAGGTGCTAAGTTATATATATAGGTTCACGTGCTGTGGTCGTCAGGAGTCGATGCCTAGACTGGCGTGGGCGTGGGCGTGGGCGCGGGCGTGGGAGCTGACAAACGGAAAGAGTAACAGAAACAGGTGCTGCAGGTGCTGGTGTTGGGTCTCGTGATCCCCAGGCCTCAGGGCGATGAGGGTTTTACAGAAGAGGGAAATAACCCGTTTGTGGTGTGTGGTGTGCGGTTGTGTGTGCTTGATCTGGCTCCCGACCCACTTTGTCCCTGAGCTAGGGGTAGTCGTCGTGAATTCCAATGGTGATTCCGATTGTAATTGTGATTCCGATTCCATTCCGAAGCGGTTGGGATTCTTACAGTTGCAGTGACGTCGTCCGTCCTCTGGCAGTGACAGGATCGGAGTAAGAAAGCTCTAGGGACAACACAGGACAGGAATGAATAGAAATGAGGGCTGGAATGGTCGGCGGGGATTAGGAGCTGCAGCGGGTGCGGGTTCAAAGAAAAGCGGGATAGAAGCAATGCGGGGTACCGGTTGGAGGTTAAAGGAGTTAAGAGGTTTAAGGGGGTGGGGGGTGAGGGGGGGCTGTGCGAGGATTATGATTGGATGAGGTGAGGTTGGTGAGATGAGATGGTAGGTGAGATGAAGTGATGGGAGATGGAGTGATTGAAGGAGGTGGAGATGAAGGTGGTGGAGAACTGGATGAAGTGATATTTAGATTGTGATGGATGTGTGATGCAAAAAAGTGGGAAGAAGAGACGATCTAGTTTCGAATTGGTCTCGCCCTGAGCACATGGACAGATCTAGACTCTAAGAAGAGTGAGGGTCTAGCCCCACTCTCGGGGATTCACTCTTCACAATGATAGAGTGGGTAAGATGCCAATTAGGATAGACGAGTGGGAGAGGGAGAGCTTTTCACTCTTTTACTCCTCTTACTCTCTCTCTCTCTCTCTCTCTCTCTCTCTCTCTCTCTCTCTCTCTCTCTCTGTGCTTACCCACAATGCACTTCACAGATGAGATTCATCTACTCATATTATCACTCCTCGACACAAACTCACTCCATAACACAGCTCAAGTTAACTCCCACTTCCTCCATCTCACACGTTCAATCCTCTTCTCTAATATCACCCTCCGATCTCCTCCAATCCCACGCCCTACAGTCCCAGCATACGCACTCCAACCACACGCGCAAGAAGATCGTTCTCTCCCTCTCGCTCTCCTCATTTCCAACCCACAGACACAGCTCGCATCCCACGTAAGAACATGCAGCATCTCCTCACGCTCACAACACGGGCCTCAAGGACGTGACTCTCCGCCGCACCTCCTTGCCGCCCTAGGCCAGATGCATAACCTCCATACTCTCCAACTCAAATGGCTAGAACTCACACCGCTCATCAGCGTCCTCTCCTCCCTTCCCCACCTCCGCAGGCTCACACTCACAGGCTCCGTCCCCCCTCGCGCAATCACTATCCAGTCACTCAAACACTGCTCGCTCACATTGGAACATCTTTCGATAGACAACATCATGAACCACGTAACGCTCTTCGAAGCTCTGATCCCACTGCTCTGTTCGGGGCATACGACGTCCATCTCCCTCCTCGGAGCGGACCAGATCCCCTCGTTCTTCCTTCGCAGGCTAGGCAAGTTCGTACCAGACGATACCCTCAAAAGGCTCTCCATACCGAGCGAATCGATGGACGCTCGAGTCCTGTGCGACTTCCTCCTTGCTCAGCGGAAATTGCGCGTGTTGGTATGCACGAGCAAGACATTCTCCGGCTTGCACCTGCCGGAAGAGGCACTCCCTTGTTTGGAGACGTTCGAAGGCCCTCTAACACCGGAGGCGTACGAACTGCTCCTCCCCCGTCGGCCGGTGAAGAAAGTCGTCATACGCCCGCTTGCATCAGGGGGGGAGGAACTGGAGAGGACCTTCCGCGCGCTATATAGGTCTGGGGCGGAAGGTGGTGTGAGGGAGTTGGGGCTGAGGGTAGCTGTGCTGGACGAGCGCATGCTGGGGTTGTTGAACGGGTTTGAAGGGCTCAGGAAGTTGAGAATAGGCGTTGTCGCTCCTTTACCTGAAGTGAGTACCCCCCGCCTTCTCTTTCCCTACCCCTTCCCGCACTCTGCTTACCCCAGCTAGGGACTCCTCGATTCCCTCCCCCAACTCCCTCTGCTCGAATCCCTCCAAATAACCCCAATAGCGGGCAAACCACTCCCTCAGCCAAACCCGCTCCCTTACCCTTACCCTTACCCGTATCCGTACCCGCTGTACGCACATCCATCGGTTCTTAGCTCTGGGACTGATGGCTTTGGTCCCAGTGCTGGTGCGAATGCGAATGCGAGCGGGAGCGGGAGTGGGAGTGGGAACGAAGGCACGGAGGTCGCCCATAAAGAGAGGGAAAGGCAAACCCTAGCAGCCCGGGCAAAAGCCCACCAACCCTTGATCCGGAAGTTGGCAGAACGCCAGCTTTTGAGAGAGGTTAGCCTGGAAGGAGTGGACTGGAGGTGGTTGGACTGGGGAGAGTGGGGGGCTTGGGGGGTTGGCCGGGGCCAGGGCCACGGGGAGGGGGTGGGGGAGGCGCTGGGGGTGGGGGAAGGGGAGGCGGAAGGGGAGGGAGAGGGGGAGGAGGAGAGAGTTGGGGGTCTGAAATGGGATGTGGGGCAGCCGGAGGCGGAGAGGCTGGGCCTGGGGGTGAGGGATGAGCGGGATGAACCAGAGCTAGAACCAGAGCCAGAGCCAGAGCCAGAGCCAGAGTCAGAGCCAGAGCGACTGGAGCTGGAGCTGGAGGTCAAGCCGGAAAAGGTCAGGCGAGAAGGAGAAGGAGATCGAGGAGATCGAGATCGGCCTCGGCCTCAGCCTCAGTCCCAGCCTCAGCCTCAGTCCCAGCTTCAGTCCCTGGCGCAGACTGAGACGGAGTTGCAGTTGGAGTTGAAGTTGGAGGGGACACGCACGAGAGTAGGAATGGGTGTGGATGGCGTTATTAGTCCAGGGCCGAGCGCCAACGCGAGTGCGAGTGCGAGTACGAGCACGAGAGTGGATGGGAGGGATAGGATGGATGGGAGGGATAGGATGGATAGGATGGATAGGAGGGATAGGATGGATGGGACGGCGGGCAAGGAGGGGAGTGCGTGCGATGCGGTCGTGGGTGCTCCTGCTGCCGCTGGGAGTGGGAGTGGGAGTGGGAGTGGGAGTGGGAGTGGGAGTGCGAGTGCGAGTGCGAATGGGTATGTGAACAGCCCCATGAGTATGAGTATGAGTGCGACCACGCCCACGACGAACGGGAAGGGAACGACAACGACGACAGCTATAATGACACCGACGACGGCAACGACAGTGACAGTGAGGGCCACGGGCACAGCGAACAAGATTGCGAACGGGATTGTGAACGGCGTGTATTCTTTTGGAGCAGGATCAGCCTCGGTCCTTGTAGCGCCGTCAGCAGCATCAGCGACAGCCCCATCAGCGTCAGCAGCATCAGTCCCTTCAGCAGCAGCAGCGTCAGCAGCATCAGTCCCTTCAGCAGCAGCAGCAGCATCAGTCCCTTCAGCACCAACCCCAACCCCTACAGCAGAGGGACTCCCAACCGACCCAGGACCAAAAGACCGAAAAGAAAAAGACCCAGAGGCTAAAGCACGGGAACCAGAAGCTCGAGAAGCTCGCGGATCCCGAGAACCTAGAGAGTTGATCGACCGCGACCGGGAGCGGGGGGAGAAACGGGAGTCGAGGGAGTCGAGGGAACCGATGGAGCGCGGGAAACGGGAATCGAGAGAGCCTGAACGGAAGTGGGAGTCTCGCGAGCCGAGGGAGATGAGGGAGCGGGAGCCGAGAGAGCTCAGAGATAGAGATAGGGAGAGGGAAAGGGAGAGGGAAAGGAAGGCGAAGGCTTTGGCAGAAAGACGCGAGGGGGAGGTGAGGGAGGGGATTGGGGCTGCTACATGAGCGGTACGCGTGCTGTGAGCGGTGAACCGTGAGCGGGCATTGTGGTCGCCCTAGGGGGAGATCGGAGATTAGCGCTCGATGATGGTGACGGTGACGGTGTGGTGACAGTGAGGAAGAGGAGCGAGGACTGAAAATCCCTCAACTACACGGACGCCATATCTTGATAGGGGGAACAACGACAACGACGCCCATGACGACGACGACAACAACAACAGCGACCCCTCAGGGTCGAAAGCGCCCATCGCCCAGCGTTATGCCCATAGCATTGGGTTATGAGCAATGGGCAATGGGCAATGGGCAATGAAGGGCTGGTGGTTGGGGGTTGGTGGGTGACTCGACCGGACATTTTTTTGTTTATCGGAGGTAATGAATTTATCTGTTCACGACTCTTGGGCTAGGGGTGTGTGAGCGGGTAACTATGTTCTGGTGCATATGGTGCATATGGCAAGTGCGCGTATGGAGCATCTGGGGCATATGTACCATGCATGGCCAGACAGCCAAGCCAAACACTCCCCTTTCAACATTCCTCAACATCAGCAATTTCAACCCTCGGACTCGACTACTAGTGCAGGTACTCATACTCTGGAATCCAGTGTACAGTGAGACGCCGGGATCTCCCACTTGAGGGAGTGAGTGCCCACCTGACCTGGAAGAGGAAGTGTGGAACGCTTGGACCGCGGGAATATGTTGGGCGGTTGGTGCCACAGCTGGGGTGTGGGGATATGGGATCGACACTTGTTGTACCATCGCCTGAGCGCAGTGCATAGCGACAATACCGGTGTTCGATGACGCCCTCCGGTATGCACATGTACGTACATTGCATAGCTGCGATCACGGTGTTATAAAGTACCTGCCACCCCCGCTCGATCTCCTCTTCCCAGTTAGGCACTCTGATACGCGTAGCAGAAGCCAACAAGCCGCGGCTTTCGAATCAAAGCGGAGATGTCGGGCGGAGAGCCGGCAGGCTTGAATTAGCAGCAAAGGGGTGCCAGCAGACGTACTGCGAGAGGGGGGATTGATCTACCGCTGTTTGGGTTTGTAGGCGATTCCTGTTGCCTGGAAGTCTTAGGGGTATTGTTATGTTTATGAGATTGCCATATTGGTGTTTACTGTTGGGAGTCAGTTGATATCAGATTAATTGTTGGATAAAATGTTCATGTTTGTCAGCGCTGTATAAAGCGGTTGCGTGCGCAAGGGGATTGGTCGGCGATACCGCTCCGTCCCTGTGTGAAATACTTGCACAAGACTGTCTGTCCACTTGGGGGGATTTCCACTCTTCAACATCTAACCAACATCTACAATTCAACAATGTCAAAGAAACCGCCTATTCCTGCTCTGTCTGTGCTTTCGTTTCATGACGACTCCCCGCCTCTGCAGCCGTCGACAGAGCGCAGGCCTGACGTGCCCCCGCTCGACTTGGATGACCGGTCCAACAACCTCGGTGGGAACGCCAGCGCTGGCGGGAATGGGAATGGGCTCAATGCGATAGATCATTACCCTTCGGTAGAGGACTCTCCTCCTGCGCAATCGACACCCCGCCAACCAGGACAGGACACCCCTCCTCGCATGCGTAGGCCGCACAACGGTTTCCAGACCCCGCCGAGTCAGGGCAGCCCCTCGACTTCCCGTGTCGCTTCTCCAAGACTGGAGCTCCCGGCTACGCCGTACCACACGCATGTGCTCCAGGTGACGCAGAGTAAGGAGGTGGATGGGGATGGGCTCCTTAGGGGCCCGACGAAGTTTACGGAAAGGCTCGAGGCGGGCGAGTTCCCGAGGCATAGGCTTAGGACGCGGATGTTGGGTGAGTGCGCTCCTGGTTGGGTTGGATGTTGCTGATGCATTATAGACGAGAATAAGATACCTATCGTTATCGGTATGACTGGTCTCCTGCTCCCTGATGTGAAGCTAATAATCCTCAGTTGCCTGCGGCTCGTTCTCCCCTCCTACATACCTGCATCTGTGGGCACTTACACATCGTTCATTTACCAATCTTACCGGTCTGCAGGCGCATGTTCGAGATGGCCAAAGATACGATCCTCGAAGATGCCAAATACGAAATCATGGGCGGGTACTACTCCCCCGTCTCAGACAGGTACAAGAAGTCCGGGCTCGCGCCCGCCCTGCACCGTGTGCGGATGTGCGAGCTCGCGGTCGAGTACACCTCTACTTGGCTCATGGTCGACGCTTGGGAAGCGACGCAGGACGAGTACCAGCGCACGGCGATCGTTTTGGAGCACTTTGATGCTGAGATCAATAGGGACGGAGGGGTGCTCATGGCTGATGGGTCGAGGAAGAGGGCGAAGATCCTCCTGCTCGCGGGAGGGGACTTGATCGAGTCCTTTGGACATCCGGGCGTGTGGGCAGAGGAGGACGTAAGCGTTTTGTTCTCTTGAGATTCCAACTTGAACTTGGGCGATCTGACGGTTGATACAGCTCCAAATCATCCTCGGCCGCTTTGGGTGCATCATCGTTGAGCGCACAGGCTCAGACGTATGGGCCTTCCTACTCTCCCATGACATTCTCTACCAGCACCGGTATGCTTCCCGCCCCCTGTCGGCGAGCCCGTGCTGACCAGGAACAGGGGCAACGTCATCGTCGTGAAACAGCTCATTTACAACGACATCTCTTCTACCAAAGTCAGGCTGTTCGTACGTCGCGGGATGAGTATCAAGTGCGTTCATTCTGTCCATCTTGCGTATGCGATGCTGATTAGATTCTAGGTACCTCCTGCCTAACTCGGTCATCCAGTATATTTATTCCAATAGGCTGTACGGGCACAACCCCGATGCGTACCCTACATGACCTCTCAGTGTCCAGATATGCGTGAGCTTGAGCTGCTGTGGAGGTTAGGGGGGCACATAGACATGTACGGCTATGTATTTGGTGTATTTTGTTGGGTGTGGGGACTCCGGAGGATAATGTACTTATTCGTTGACGGCAATCCGTTCGCAGAGTCGAGCAAGAGTGCAGCAGGACCAAAGCGCAGTACAATTACACGCAAAGCTGACGGTGTATCTAGCGTACATCTTGTGGGTGTGGATGTGCGGGTGTTGGGTGATTACAGATGACAGATGTGGTGAATGTGGTTGAGGATGTGGGTAAGGGGTAACAGTGAAAAATGAGGTAATACAAGCTAGCGCGTGCTCTAGCTGTCCCGTCAAGGTATACAAACCAAGGAAGCAGACCAGAAGAAATTCGTTACTGAGAAAAAGGGGGAAAATGCACCAAAACAGGTCTATCATCAACAAGGTCAAGGTTTGCTCCCAACCGAAGGGGTCGAAGAAGACGCAGCCGCAGCACGCATCTCGTCCATCTTGTCATACAACGCCTGGATTGCGGTATGCTGGCGCTGGTAGTCACGGACGATGGGCTCCATCTGCTCAGGGGAATATAGTTTAGGATCATCGAGTGGCCTCCGTCCAGCGGCAACATCCTCATATATCTGCTTTTGCTGAACGATCTTGGCATACGCCTCGACGTATCTGCTGTACTTTCGAAGGGACTTGATAAGCAGCTGGTCCTCTGTGGGCGGGGAACTTGGCAGGGGATGCTCAGAGACAGCGGATGGTGCTACATCGGTCGCCGGCCTAGGCTTAGGATCGACTATCGTCTCGGGTTTGGTTTTGGGCTTGGGCTCAGATTTGGGCTCAGATCTGGGCTCAGGCTTTGGTTTGGTAGAAACGGTGACACGTGTGGAGGTGCTTGGGCCAGCATCCATGTTGACGTCCTTGGCAGGAGCAGAGCGGACAGTCTTACGGCGCACAACGCGCCGTGTTTCCTCATCACGGTCATCGTCACTGGACGTATAATCAGGTCGCTTGCGCTTGCCCTTGTCGGCCACGGCTGGGCGGGTAGGGGGTTCGCGTTTGGATGACTCGCCATTTGTTGCTGGCTTTGCAGGCACCCTCTCCTTGGCCACAATCGGAGCAGTAGTGCTGACCCTCGGACGCGTGTCCTCTCTGAGCATCGGCTTCTTCGCCGCGGCTACCGTCTTCATCTTCTTCACCGGCGTGGGGTCGTCGTCGTCTTCGCTGTAATCCACCTGCTTGCGTTTCGCTGCCTTCTTCTCCACAAGGGTGTCGGGCTTCTTGATGACAGGTTTAGGGTCGGCAGGACGCCGCTCGCGATCACGTTCAGCGAGGGGTGCTTCCTTCTTCTCCTTGACCAGAGGTTTGCGCTCCAGAGATGAATTCTCCTTCCGTTCCTTGGTCACAGGTAAGGTCTTGCGTTCACGTTCACGGTCACGTTCCCTTTCCAAGGAAGAATCCTCTTTCCTCAAAGCGGCGGGTTTTTTGATTGGAACATCCCCCTTCTCCCGCTCCTTCTCCTGTTCCTTCTCTTTCCTCACAGAAGTAACAGTGGCGGCAGACACAGGAGGCCTGGAATTAGACGCCGAAGCTGGGGTAGACACCACGCGCTCGTCCCGGGCCGTAATCTCCTTCTTGGCCTTCTTTGGCACCTTATCTTCCGTCTTGCGTTTCTTGGCCTCACGGTCCTGTTCAGCAAGATCATCATCCGCAGCGCGTTTTTTGCGGACTTCCGGTTCTTTGACCTTCACTTCAACAGTATGGGGCTTGCTGAGCGCAGAGGCAGGGCGGGAGATGTCAGCTCCAGGACGAGCATCCGAGGGACGCACTGCGCGCTTGCTCTGCACTTTGTCCGGTGTATCGAGCTTGATGGCTATCGACGATGAAGTGGCGGGAACAGAAGGGGCAACGGGGACAGATGTCGGAGGTCGTACAGGCGCTTTTTCCTTATCCTTATCCTTTTCCTTGAGCTTCGAAGCGGAGGACACGGTAGGCTTTTCGTACGTCGCCACGGGCGTGACAGATTTGGACGGTGTAGCTTTAACAGAGCCAGGGTACTTCGACTTTGCTGCCGGCAGTGGTGCAGGGGCGGGTGCGGGCTTAGTAGGCGTGCGGGCTGGTGGCTCATCCTCCAGCTCACCTTCTTCCATATCTTCCCTCAGGGGTTCAGGTTTAGATAGCGCCTTGCGAGCGAGAGGAGCAGAAGAGGAACTGGACGTGGTAGAGGCAGACGCAGAGGTAGGCTTTGAGCTGACTTTGCTATCTTTCCCCTTGGCAAGTCCTCCACGGAAACTCGAGGAGAGCGTACCACCGATGGCGATGCCGGATGAGGTGAGCATGGGTGCATTGGATTGGGAGGCGGGCGCGCTGGAGCCAGAGCTGGAACTGGGCCGGGAGGCAGGTACGATGATGGGTGCTGGTACGGCCTTCTCCTTTCCCTTCGGGGTGGCATCGTCCTTCGCGGGGGTAAGAGTAATTTCTGGCTTTGCGGGCGCCGGTTCCTTCTTCTCCTCCGGATTACGGATGCCCAGTCCCTTGGGCTCGACACCTCTCACCCGGGCCCACATCTCCTCGAGACGCATGCGCTCCCTCCCTCCCTCTGGCAACCCCAGTCGGCCGAAAGCAGCGAGTGTGTCCTTATAGATGCGTTCCTTGTCTGCGGTTGTCCATTGTGGAGCAAAGGGGGAGAAGAGGTCAATGTCCAGCCAGCCATTGTCTTTCAGCGACCAGAGTTTATTGTCTGGATTCGTGGCAGGGCCTATTGTCCAAGCTACCTACATGCCCATATGAATCAGTCTCGTTATATTGCCGATAATGAATATCAACGTACCGTGCTCAATACCTTGCTGATATGAACCTTGGGTGCGCCAATGAGTTTACTAAGATCCTTCAAGGTCAACGACTTGTGCGCCAATCGATGGATGATTTTCATCAGCAACGGGCTCTTCCCGCCTGCCTGCTGCTGGGATGGATTAGGAGTGCTGCTTGTCGAAGGTGCCGCGGTGCCTGGTGTACTGGCGCCGGCGCGGATAGGCAGCGGTGCGACAATGCGAGAGTGAGGAGTGCTAGCAGCTGAGGAAACCGGTTTTGTTGCTGCTGTAGAAGCAGGGGTAGGAGGCACAGGCTTTGCTGCAAGGACGTTGACTGGCCGAGCAGGCGGGAGGATCCTCTTCCCTATAATCGGCTTCGCGGTGCCTCGCTTTCCCTTCTTCCCTCGAGCATTCTCTACATCCACAGGCACGTTTTCTAGCAAGATCGCTTTTCGCCCCTTGCGCTCACCCTCGACCTCGTGACTCCGCTGCTGCACGCGCTGGAAGGCGCGCGTAGACAGCTGAGGGGGGATAGTGCATTCTCTGCGGATTTGGCCGAGTTGGATGAGCCGGCCTGGTTCGCCGGAGGAGAGGAGAGGAGTGCGCGTGAGTAAATCTTGAGAGAGCTCGCGGACGAGGGTAAAGGGGAAATGTTGGGAGGCGACGGTTAGACCCTGCAGAGGACACGGCACACGTCATTGGATCAGTATGTCCGAGAAAGGAGCCCGGACAAGTTAGCGCACCTTATCTGACCCATCTAGGGTGACCTGGATAGATTGATTGGCTGCGGCCGAGGCTTGAAGAGCGCGCAGAGCGTCGAGGACCTCCTCGGGGAGAGAAATGCGGTACGCCTGCACCGGCAAGGTCGCGGGTAGCACCTGCCCCTTCAGGGGTAGCAGGGTGGATTGGGACATGGTAAGGATGCTGTTGGGATGGAAGGGGATGCGAGATATGTATGCTGGGTGTTGATGGCGAGTACGAGTACGAGATGTATGCTCCAAGCTGTTGATGTGAGGGTGTTTGTGCGGCGATGCGGCGATCCCGTATTGTATGCCAGTAAGCAGGAGTCACCTTTCAAGAACTGATGACAATGTATCGCTATGACCGATGAACAAGAATGAGAAAAGAGAAGAAGGAGAAGAAGCCCAAGGTCGCCGTCGTCGTCGTCGATGTCGTCGTCTGTTCTTGTCGATGTCGAGCCCGGCGGTGCTTTGATGGCCAAATGCCAGCTGCCCTTTGCCCTGTGCGCCCGCTCACCCTTCCACATGGCCATCGCCGCTGCTCGCCTCTGTCCCACTTAGCACGTTTGCTCCCGATTATTTAAGCAGTCCCCTTTAATTGGCGCAATACTTCCTTACCACCTGATCTAAGGGTTGAGGGATGATAGACAATTATTTGATTACTCCGCTCGTACGGTATGATATCCTGAGTCAGACTGTCCCACTGAGGTATGCTAGAAGTGCGGTCATAAATAATGCTACAAGTTGTAAGCTCTGGCCACATCATCGTCCCTTCACGGCTAAGTCCATCAGTCCTTACGTACATACACCACCGCCTCGGGGTCCCATTCCCTCATCTCGGACGCGATCCCCTCAGACGCCACGGGCTCCGGCACCGTCTTCTCCTGCAGCCAGGGCATGTTCGGCGCATCAGGGTCTGTGCTTGTATGGTCCATGGCTTTTGTGGCCGTTGTTGGGTCGCCAATACCCGCACGAGTGCCCCAGGCCGTCTGGTACAATCATCAGCCCGAAAACGGCGGGGAAGAACAAGGAATATCGCACCTCATGCAGCGTAAGCAGTGCAAATATCTTCATGACCGCAAAATAGTACCCAAAGAGGATAAACGCGGGTACGTAGATCACATGTTCCGGTCTGTGCCATAAATGCGGCAGCAGCTTAGCTGTGCGCGTTACGAGCAGCCAGACGAAGTATGACAGCACGATGTCCCACCACGGGAGATGGTACCCGCCTTCTTGGACGGACTTTGTCGATTTGACGATAAGGTATATGACCAGGCATGGCCCAACAAGCAATGTGAACGGGTTGAAGAGTTTGTCCACCTGGAACACCGTCAGCACGATGCAGCCACCGGGAGATAGACACGAACCATCGTGTACGCAACATAGGGGAACCGATGCCATATATACCGCTCTTTGAACAAGCTTCTCAGGTCGCTTCTCCACGTGTTCCGCGTCCATCTCAGCACTTGCTTCAGGAACCTCCAATTGGGCTTCATAGTGCTGAGTAACTCCGCCTCCTTACAGCACTGGATATACGTATTCCAGCCATGGCTGACGAGCCAACGAGTGAGGAACTTGTCGTCCCCCGAATTAAGATGGTATTTCCCCAACCACAAGTCATGCGTGAACCCGTGTAGGAACTCCGGGTCCTTGAGGATAATCGTCCGGTACGCGGCCGTACGACCAGAGAGGCACGGCACGCCTCCGTCAATATGCGTGCTCGCGGCGATCTCGACGTTGCGTATACTGAGGCGGAAAGCGGCGAGCACTTCCCACACGGTCAGCTTCGACCCGACAGGGGTGACCCGCTGGCTCGTCCCCACTCCACCAATCTTCTGGTCCTCGAAGCATGCGAGTATGTAAGGCAACATTGTCGGTGGCCAGAGCGCGTCGTCATCCGCAAAGACGACGATGTCGGTCATAGTGTGCTTGATACCCTCGACCATCTGCAGTCGCTTGTTCGCGTACGGCACCGTCAGCACCCGGATCTTCGACGCGTCCACTGCAGCGGCGAGCTCTTCCAAAGGCCCGCGCATCCGTTCTTCGGTGACGATGATGATCTCTCGCGGGTCGCCCTGGAGCCATGTTCGCGCCGCCTCGATAAACTCTTCTCCCGCATCGATGGTAGGCACGATAATGGTCACGTCCTCACTGGCGACATAGGTGGGATTGAGAGGAAGTGGCACAGGACGATATGCGAAGAAAGCGAGGATACGAATGATGTACCAGAAGTAGCGGTAGAAACTGCACCGGGTCAACACGTGTAGGAGCGTGATTCTAAGGGCTTACCCGATGACGCCGAAAGGGATGACTGGGACATTGACGGTATCAGAGGTGTACGTTCTTGTCTGTAAACACACTCACAGATAGGAAACTTGTCCGAGGTGAGGTACAACATCCTGCCCTTTGCTGGAGGGCAGGAGAGAGAGGGGAACCGCACTAGGCGGGTGGAAGGGAGGACGACGACCGTACTAAAAGCTTGGTATTCGCGTTACGACGTCTGTCGGGCACGCGCCGATCATGACCGTTTTTGTGCCCGTCTAAACAATTGACAGGAATGTAAAACCCATTTAATATTATTCATATTTGCGACTAATTATACACAGTAGTAATTTGTTTCATTAGGATTCAGGTACGGCGATGGAGTAATGCGATGATGCTGGTGTGTTATAAAATACAAATGATTTGAATTGGGATATAATTGACAGGGATATTTGCACGCCTTTATGCCGCGCCGTCCTACGGCAACCGATGTTTGATCTGTTCAAACCACGACCCAAGAATATCCCCTCCCTTCCATTCCCTCCATCCAGTACACCACTCGCACTGCTCCATATACCCCAGCATGCTACCCAACGCGATCCCTTTCACGTCTAGCACTTTCCGACCCGTGTCAGGCAGCTCCTGCTGAGCAAGCCGAGCCACCCCTCGCTTCACCCTCTCCTCCTGCGGTGCAAGTGCTTTCTCCGGCGCGCCCCGCTGACCCTGCTGGTGGACCATCATCACTGTGCCCATAACTGCTTTGCAGAGTGCTTCGTAAGTCAGAGCGGCCCAGCGCAAGCCCGAGTCCTGGGCAGCATCAGGGAACAGCTTTCCCATCGCTGCTCCCTCTGGACGAGGCAGTGTATCCAAACACTGGAGGATGACGCTCGAGTCGAAGATGGTTCCCGAAGGTGTTACGAGCGACGGGACGAATGCGGACAGTGGGTAGAGCCCGTGCTCCTCAACGAGGTCTGCTGGAGGAGGGTCGGGAATTGCATGGACGGTGAGCGCATCTCCTAGCCCAAGCTCTTTGATGGCAAAGAGTAGCTTGATTGCAAATGGGCTCTCGGGAATGTGGTACAAGTGTAATTGCCCAGGAGTAATATTGGACTCCATCGGTAGCGTGGCTCAGAGAGGCTTGGCTTGCCTTGGCAGAGGGTGACCCGTTTTGGGCAATGGAACGCCATGCTGTCATCTGAGCACGCCATCGCCCGTGCCACAAACAGTCAACATCGCAATATTCGCGTGGCAATTGTCAAATCTTGTTCTCTTCCTCTCTCTTCTCGCTCTTTATCTTTTCTTTTCTGTCTACCACTGACAATAATATCTGATTATTCCTCTGTACTGATGGTTACGACGTGCCTACGTAGCTGGCTTTGTCATCGGTTCCATATTCACGCGCATTCTTCCCCAACCCGTGGACATTCTCCCCTTCTGTGATTTTCTCCACCTTCCTCTGAGGGGGCTGAGCTCCCACATCTGCCAACAATCCCACATTTGCTTACAACTGTTCTACCCTTTCTGACCCTTTCTCGCACGCACGGACCGTATATAACCGGGTATTCCTAAGCGATTCCCTTGCTGAGCGATCTGAGACTTTTCGGCATCTCCAGTCGGCAGCAAGTTGTTGCTTGTTCAGCGGACTATATTATCTCCTCACTGGCGCTCATCTTCTCTCCGTCCTCTGCTCGGTATTACCTTCTAGATATATACCCCAAGCTACCGCATCAACAAGCGCACAACGATGTCTCTTCAATCTCTAGCAATGCCCCTAGTGGGCGGGCTCATGATCGGCTCATCAGCATACCACCTTCTCGCTCTAGACGGCAAGATCATGGGTGCAAGTGGGATCCTCCACTCCACAGTCCGCTACTTCAAGACCCAGTTCCCTGCGCTCCCGGACAAGGATACGGCATGGAAACTCGCTTTCGCAGCTGGGGGAGCAACGGCCGGGGCGATACTGCATATCTGTGGGCAGGCGCTCTCGGCCAGGCTTGGGATCACACTCTTTGATCCGCAAGTCGAGTCTTGGGCGCTAAGTGCCGTGGCTGGTTTGCTAGTAGGCATCGGTACAAAGGTGAGTCTAATTCTCCCTTGCTTAATAACTCAAACTGACGATGCACCCAGCTCGGTGGTGGGTGCACTTCCGGACACATGATATGCGGACTATCACGCCTCTCCCCGCGGTCCATCGTCGCAACCCTAGTCTTCTTCCCCACCGCCGTCCTCGTCTCCAACATGCTCGGTACAGCCCCTCCTCCATCCCCAACAGCCGTCCTCCCCCCACTAGAAATTTCCCTCCCCATCGTCGCCGCGCTCCAAATCCCCTTCCTCATCTACCGTTTCGTGCACAACAAAGTCATCTCCTCCTTCGCCATTGGTGCCCACTTCTCCCTCGGCCTTGCGCTCTCAGGCATGCTCCGCGCCTCCGCCGTACTGGGGTTCATGTCCCTCCCCCTCCCGTTCCCGCCATTCGACCGCCGCCCGTGGGACCCTTCGCTCCTCATGGTTGTCGTTGGCGCACTCATCCCGAACTTTGTCGCATATCAATGGCATATTAGGCACTTGCACAAGCCGGAGAGGGCGGAGAAGTTCGACATCCCTACGAAGAAGGAGATTGACCTTAAGCTTGTTGGGGGGGCAATGCTCTTCGGTATCGGATGGGGGTGAGTACTTGTCGATGTGTTTTCAGATTAACGGCTGATGGTCTTGCAGGCTTTCCGGTATCTGCCCAGGACCGGGTCTGGTGACATTCTCTGTCAACCCACTGGCAGCAACGGCGGCCGGGTGGATGGTGGGTATGCTCCTTGGCGGGCAGCTGGTCTAGAGTTAGACTAGAGTAGAGCACATCTTTTCTTGGGACAATGTAGACATAGAATGCATCCCCTCTTCCTCATTGTCGGCGAATATCGCGCCATTCTGCTATCATTTCGCCATTCCTCGTCGGGACTAGAACAGTCCATTCACGATTTAGGCATGATACAGCTTGGACTAAGGCTACATATGGGCGTCTCCAAAAAACCACACGTCACCTGTTCAGGGCTTGAACGTGACGATACGGGAGAAAGTGCTCCCTGTACCCCAGATGCCTTTCCGAAGGCACGCAAGCTGGACGATCTGCGAGTGGTCAACAAACAGGTTCGCATGCGCGCCTTGGTTCTGGATGTGGTAGGCGAACACTGCAACGGTGGTGAGTTACGATTTGAGGGGAATTGGTTGAGGGAAAACGCGCACCTTCAGGATCGGCAGCTTCGAACATGATCTTGTCATTTGGAAGAGCAGATGTGATAGCAGAGATAACTGGCATGTATCGCTCAGTCAACGTCAGAGTTCGGACGAGAGTGGCCTCACCATATGTACGCCAGTTCTTGACATTCTCCGTAATGCCCTCACTTTCGATCATGATCATCTATTGCCCACAGTCAACCAAGTTCCCAACATTGTACCAGAATGCTCACAGAGGCCCCCGCATCCAAGAACATCTTCGCGCGGTCAATGAGCCACTTTGGATCCCTCGTGCCAGCGTTCTCGAGCTCCTCGATGCTCGCGTCTCCGTCTGCACCCCACTGGATACCTACCTCCGGCTTGGGCTTCAGTCCGTACTTCTTGACAAGCCTGACGATCTCTGCCCAATCCTCGGTCGGGATGGATAGGAATCCGGAGGAGATCTCTAGCACATCAAACCCCACATCACGCACTTTCTTGATGTACTTCTCGACGGTGTCTTTGTCACCCGCTGAAGCGGAGAGGACGCGCTCGATGTACCCTCCAGTGCTGAGATAGCAATCTGCGTGTTTCTTCAGCATCCCCACCGTATCCAAACCTGAAATGAAGCTCACCGTGCTTATGGGCCGTGTCGATGAGCGCCTTCAGGCGATTATCCGGCATGAGCGTGAACGCCCCCCCGGCAAACTTGATCCCGTCGACAAACTCGCCCCAATCGCTAAGCAGCTCATCGAGATAGGTCTTCGTCACAGGGGCATAGTACGGCCCGCGAATCTATGTGATGCCTCTCTTCTTGTCTGGTTTTGTGTCGAGCGCGTTGGACGGCAGGAAGTCGAATGCTTTGGCTTGGGATGTCGAGTGCACTGTTGAGGTTGACAATGCACGGGCAAGTGCGGCGGGCAGAGGAGGGTTACGGAAGATGGACTTGGTAGCGAGCATAGTGGCCGTCGTAGTTGTACCAAGGAAAGACTGACATGTTGCCGAGTGTATTATTATTTCGAGGTATATTTCGAGAGGAGATGGTCGGTATCCACTTATGAGTCTTCTGTCTATACGTCATTCGAAGTACGTCAACATAGCCACCCACCCACCACATATATGTACATGGTCTTTCGCTGATGTCACGCGCTTCTGACTTTATTCTCGGCTATTACAGACGTGATCCATGTGTACTTTGTTTTGGTGAGCAGCTTGGCGCTGGTGCATCCTTCGAGCGAAACTGAACGATCACCTTGCACTCTAATCAGTATGAATCATTCCAACATCTTATCCTCTCGAAGCTGGATTACAACAATGAATGATTTACAGTGGTTAGCTTACGACTATTCAACGCTCAAGTCCTTGATTCCATCACGAGATCAGTGTCGTGAGCCCGAACATACTGTGTGCAGCGACTGCTTCGCCAAGATCGGATACACCACACGTTTGGTGACCCGCTTGAACATGCGTTGTCGCGAAGATGGTGGCTTAGCCTTGAGTTTTTGGAGATCCTTGTGCACAGGTCGTCCGTCCCACTCCTGATGATGGGCCGCCAGCATCTGCTGCATCAAGTGCATTCACTTCATTACTGGTCAAAGATCGAAGCACCGAAGACAGCGAGGGCAACCCCTGTCGCTCCAAATCCGGCCGTTGGTCTTGTTGTCGAGCTTGATTCGAATCATTGGCACGTGTTATGGGAGAAGCTGGTCGTCTCTGGGATCCTGGACTTGTTGCAGTCTGTTGTTGAGTTTGAGGTGGAGTCGGTAGAGTTCGTGATATTAAAGATCTTTCTCGGGCCCGGATGATACTGTCTTGCAACGCGGCATGGGCTGTAGCACACTGCATTATGATTCTAAGCCACGCACCGAAAGAATAAAAATAAATAGTCTTGCCTTGTCCTCTGCTCTTACAGCTTTGCAAAGTGCCGAGAGAAGTTCTGTATCTCCCTCGGTGTTGATCTGATAGGCTTGGATCAGGTCGGCAACCGCCGTCATTTCGTTCCTTGCGTTCCGGGTCGATGACCACCCGACGCTAGAGTCTAGCCCATTGAGAAGAATGCCGTTGACTTTGGGCGATTCTCGGGCGTGCGGGGGAGAGGGCATGAGCGCATGAGTTCTGAGGTGATCTTACCCCTCTCTTGGCGAGCTACATATTCCAGAAATTCTGCTAAAACGCCAAGATCTATTTTCGGGACGACTTTTGAGTTCACACCAACATGCGGTCGCGATACGTTTAGTCCTCCGGGGTAGTTCAGGGGCACGATTATGTGGACTTGATGTGGTAATGAATGAATTGCCTCGTTAGTGATCAGAAAGTAGAAGAGCCTTGGCATTTTGATAGCGCTATTTCTGGGCACACTTGGCAGGCCCACACCAGTGCTTGTCAGCGGGTTTGAATGGCCAATAATGCGCCCTCAAACTTTGCATCGAGCCGAGGTACCACCCGTCGGCCTGATCTGTAAACATCCCTGACTTGTGTCAGTACCTCCTTCCTATCAAAAGAACGACGTGTGCCTCGGTGGACATTATATGAGCGAAGTGCTTCGGAGTTGTGTACAGTATTTACCAACTGGATGCCAGGAAGATGTGCGAAGCAGTAAGAAGCAGTCCTAGTTTGAACACCTGAATTATGTTCGCTTGATGTACATGCCAGGATAAGCTACAAAATGTCCAGCGGCGAAATATGATCATACATACGCGCATATCTAATATATCGAGAACTTGTCCATGAATTTTCGTGAGATACCTGCTATCGAGCGTCAACAACGGTGTGTTGGCCGTGAGTTCGGTCACGCACCCTCATCATGCACCTTTTACTCCTCGTAGTTTCTCATCTTTTCGCTCCCTTAACGGCCTCATCACTTCTACATTGCAGCGATGCCAGTTCAGCTTCGATGGCGTCCTCGTCTTCCCGTAGTCTTGATTGTGTCTGCACATCAAGCGCCTTGCCCTGAGCTCGATCTGCCTCCAAAACTCCTATCATCCCCTCCAGATCCTGCAACAGCGTGTCCAAACGCGAATCGATGCCTTTGGCAATCCCATCGGCCTGCTCAATGCTTTTGAGAAGTTGACCAATGTCCTCGGCGGAAGATGGGTCCGAAGGGTCGAATGACTGGATGTCACGCAGCAGGTCTGCGAGCTGCGTTGCTGCTGCATGAGGACCACTGCCGTTGAGGGGTTTATTTGAAGAAAGAGATGATGGGCGGTCGCCTGACATGTCGTATGAGGAGAATGCGCGTAATTTTTGTTCGTGATGCAGAGGGTGAACGTCAATAGCGTAAGTCAACAGTTATCGGGACCCTTACCACCCAATAAGAAAAATATATTAGACCTCACTCCTTGTCCTCGCATCTTGCCCTCGTACCACAACATCCTCGCCTTCCGATATAGCTTCATTGACCTCCTCAGCAGCAGCTCGGCACTTGCGCAACATTGCAAGGTTAGCTGGAATGGAGTTCGAGATCATCGCAAAGTGTCACACGACACACGCTCGTGTCTCTCGCATGACCATGACTCGTACGTGATCTCTCTGCCCACAGTCCGGAGTGTCTCAAAACGGACCAGATGGCACCACGTACCTACCGACATTCATGCCCGTTGCCACGCAAGGTGCAATGAAAGGCCTCACGTCGCAGCAAGTCGAGGCATTGGGAGTGACGCTCATTCTCAACAATACCTACCACCTAAACCTCAGGCCTGGAACGAAGGTGCTAGATGCGGCTGGAGGAGCGCACAAGTTTCAAGGATGGAGGAAGAATCTGCTGACGGTAAAGCACTGTTTGTGGAAAGTATATGGCGCTTATGCATTTTGCAGGACAGCGGTGGCTTTCAGATGGTTAGCTTGAGCTCGTTCACCAAGATAACTGAGGAGGGAGTGCTATTTGCAAGTCCATACACTGGGGAACCAACCATGCTTACAGTATGCATGCCATGTCATGCCTCCATATATGTCGCACTTACATGAGTTCAGCCAGAAGAATCTATTGGTATCCAGGTTGGTGAGGGCGTTTGGATTGATGGCAGTCATGCTGAAGGCATCTAGTAGCATTCCATCGGTGCCGATATAATCATGCAACTAGACGACGTTGGTAAGCACCAGGTTATAGTCCTGTGATAGCACTGTCTAATTACTGTGCAGTGCACTCTCTTACAACCGGTCCACGAGTTGAAGAGGCCATGTGGCGCTCAATACGATGGCTTGATCGGTGTATCGCGAAGCACAAATCGAGTGGGCGCACAGATCGACAAAATCTGTTCGCGATTGTTCAGGGTGGTCTTAGTCCTGACCTTCGACAGAAGTGTCTCGACGAGATGGTTAAGAGAAAAGACGATCTGCCTGGATATGCTATTGGCGGGCTCAGTGGGGGCGAAGAGAAAGACATCTTCTGGAAAATGTGCGTTTGAGTCAGTGTTTCTCCTGTTCCCATCTAATAGCTTTCAGTGTCAAGCAATGTGCAGAACAATTGCCGGAAGATCGACCGCGTTACTGCATGGGCATTGGGTTTGCCGAAGGTGAGCTTCCTTGTCCTGTATTTGCGACCCCGCTCATCTGAGGTCCCAGACCTATTGGTTTGCGTCGCCCTGGGCGTGGATATGGCAGATTGTGTATTTCCTACGTACGAGCGTTGTTTTCAAATGCGAAGACGCATTCTGACTTGAGTAGACGAACCGCACGATTCGGTGTTGCTCTTACTCGGGATGGTCCTATGAATCTGCGGCTTGACCGACACCGCACGAGTTTCTTCCCCATTGATGCCAACTGTCCTTGTCTAACATGCTCTTCGGGTATGTCCAGGGCAGCATTGCACAACCTTGTCACACATGAAACAGTAGCCGCCCACGGTGAGCACACAGTTGTTACCCAAGGGCTTTCGTTGAGATTACCTTAGCAATCACCCAACACAACCTCGTCTTTCAAGCTTCGGTCATGGGCGGGGCACGCGATGCTATCATCGAGGGCCGATTCCCCCAATACCTAAAGGATTTCTTCCAGCGATATTTTGCAGATGCTGCTTACCCGAGGTGGTGTGTTGATGCACTCAGGAGCGTCAATGTAGATATTTTAGAAGGTATCGAGAATCCACGTATAGTGGAGGGCAAAGGCGCAAAGTGGGAATACTCTAACAAGATACCCAAGCAGAAGAAACCATGAAATCACTGTACAATGTTGTTGTATTGATACTAATGCTTGCCCTTGCGACTCGGACGGGCGTTCCTCGCCTTTCTGCGAGCAGCACCTTGGCGGTCTTGCCGGATTTGCTGAGCCGACTTGAGTTCGTTTTTGACTCTTCCAATAGGCTTCCCTTTGAAGCGAGTGGTCTTGCCAGGCTTCCCTCCCTTCCTATCGGATGGCGTGGAATCGGGTGCTTCAGATGGTCCACTATCTCTCTTCTTTGCTTGTCGAAGCTTCCGCTCGTAGTTGATATGCTTGGGATCCAAAGACTTGGCTTCTGTAATCTTGTGATGCTTGAATTTCTTCGCGCCTGATGAGCCTGTTCCTGTTGCTCTCCTGGCGTTCTCTGATTCAGCCTCGCCGATACGAGGCAAGCTTGTTTTAGTCTTTGTCTTCCATTCGTCAAATCGACCGCTCCGGTACGTTATAGGCAGCCGAGCACCACTTTCTGTCTTGAGGATCTTTTGGTTGTCAGCACCCTCGCCAGTGCCCTTAACAAATTTCTTCTTTTTACGATCCCACTTGAGTTGTGAACCATGACGCTGACGGTCGGTTAACGCGTCGTCGTTCGTGAGATCAAAGGTTGCAGTTCTGGCTTGCTCTAAGAAAGAAGCACCATCCCTCAGAGAATAACTAGTCACTTGTCAGGATGGATGCTGTGGAAATATGTTTCAAACTCACCCCTTTTCTGTTACAGCATCCTTCTGGTAGTATGACATATAGAACTCAGAATCCTGGAACTTTCCTTGACTTGGTCCAGCCAAATTCGGTTCCTCGTCGTCGTCTTGTAGAGTGTCATCGCCATCGCCATCGCCAGAATTTTCATCCCCCTGGTCCTCCTCGTCCTTACCAGTTGAGATCTCGGAAACTCTTTGCCGCGCTTTCGATAGGGCGGTCCTTCTGTCCTTCATGACGGTCGCACCGGCCGTCTTACCCCTACTGCCGATCTCGAATACGGTTTCTTGCGGCTTGAAAGAATCGATGGCCATTAGGAGCGCAGCCTTGCTTGTGCTGGCTTCATGCTGTTCGGGACGTCCGAAAATCGGATGAATCCTCCCCTCTCCTTCCGATTTAACGAGCTGTTTTGCACGCTCGTAGCTCGAGTGGTTTGCTTTCGCTTTCGTCCGTTCGTACATGCCATGACCTCGGCGCATCACTTCTCGCAGACCAGGCAGGTGAACATGGCGATCAGCTTCGAGCCTTCTGATGTTCTCAATTTCGTCGTCAAGAACATCGCGTGGTACGGTTCCGTATATCAATGACGTAGTGTAGGTACCTTCTCCCACAGCCGTCCCTTTGAGAGGACGACCCAGGAACAGCTGGAGGTCAAGGAGATAGGGAAGATCCGTGCTGGCGATCAAAGACCACGCCCAACCCTTTCGTCCTGCACGTGCGGTACGACCAACACGATGTACGAACACACGCGATCCGGCAGGGAAGTCGTAGTTGATCACGTTCTCGAGAACGGGAATATCGATACCACGGGCAGCAACGTCCGTGACGACAAGCAGGTTGGTCTGTCCCCTGCGGAAGCGGGACATCTCCAGAGTACGTGCAGCCTGGTCGAGGGAGCCGTAGATGTGAGAGACGGAATACCCAGCAGCTGTCAGGAGATTGGCCAAGTAATCGACGTGATGCTTCGTTGCGGCGAAGATCAGTGTCTGATTGGGTGCGGCCGCTGTGTTGGGGTCGACTTTGCCTTTCGACTCCTTCACTTCGTTCTCGCCAAGTGGGACCTTGATAACTTCTCTCAACAGTGCCATCAGAGCAGCATCTTTCTCCGCCTGTCTGACACGGAAGAAAGCCAGCCTAAGGTCACTGCTGAGCTTGCTGTCTGCGTCAAGGCGGACGAATTTGGGATCTTGCAAGCCGGCTTTAGTGAACTCAACCAGAGTGCTGGGGAGAGTAGCGGAGAAAAGGAGTGTTTGCCGAGTTGAAGGAAGACGATGAAGTATCTCGTGTAGGGCGGTGGCGAAGCCTTGTTCAAATAACCTGGAGAACGTCAGAGAGTGCAACACAGTGTCAAAGCCCGGTATTCACCTGTCAGCTTCGTCGAATACGACATAATTAATCGACTTCAAGTCGAGATTCATCTCAACCACGAGATGTAATAAGCGACCAGGAGTAGCGATGATGCTAAAAGAAGGCGGTCAATGGTCAGTCCTGTCGAGTGCATCGAATGTCCTTACACGTCTGGGTTGTTGGTGATCATTTCAAACTGCTCATCCATTCCCTCTCCACCAACAATTAAGCCCCACCTCAATGCGACGGCACTTTTATCCCCCTCTCCCCCTTGTTTGTCCCCCGAGTGCCAGCCCCGGCTAAGATCTTTCCCAACCTTCAAAATCTGAAGGGCAAGTTCTCGGGTTGGAATCAACACCAAGGCGCGGGCACCAAATGTGGTCTGGTGTCGCCCGCCCAGACGCTGAAGGAGGGGAATCATGTAAGCAAGGGTCTTTCCAGATCCTGTTCGAGCCATCCCAACTAGATCTCGGGGAGGAGTTGAGAGGAGGGCAGGAACAGCGAGCCGCTGGATAGGAGTTGGTTTATTGAAGCCGCGAAGTAACAGGGCTCGAAGGAGTTGAGGTTGTAGTCCTGGGTCATGATAAGAACATATGTTGTCGGTGGAAGAAATAGACATACCCATGCTTTGGAAGCTTCCACCTCCCACAGCACCTTTGGCAATATTGCCCTTCTTACCCTTCGCTTTCTTGACAACTTCTGTGCCTGCCTTGACATTGCGCTTCAGCATAAGATTCGCAATAAACTCGTCTTCATCCTCGTCTCCTCCTCCTCCACTCTCAACATCATCATCGCCGTGTCCAGCAGGTTTCGAGACTTTGCGTCGCTTCGCTGGTGCAAACTTGACCAGCGATTCCGCAATATCGACTTCATCTTCGTCTCCAAAGGAAACCCAACCTGCTTCCTCACTCTCGTTATCGCTATGGTCAGATTCAGGAGACCTTCTACGCTTGCGGCCGTCCATTGTCGGGATGGGTAAAAAAATGCGTGAGCAGGAGAGTTCGTGCGATGATGACCCTTTCACACACAGACTTTCGACACTGCCACTGACCCTTGGCCTGGAGAGTGAGCCAATCAGCGTCCCCAACCCCAGCAATCACGTGATGAGGAAGGCGACGGACTCTCTTACGTCATTGATCGTCATGGATCTGCCCCCACACGACCAGAAAGGTTGAACAGTCAGAACAAGGTCACAGTTCTTACAGGGCACAAACGGTAGAGCGATATTGCCATCGTTAACTTTGTTTGTATTTTCTCCCCTGCTACACATTTCCTAGTGGTGATAGAACATACTCTTACACAGATGACCGAGCCATCTCGTCTCGCTCACGAAGGGGGTGCCTCCTCCGCTAAATACGGCGTTAGCACATGGCCGTCGTCAGGAAACGGTTTGGACGAACGCTTAAGGATACCCTCCTTGACCAGCTCGGATGGCCGGGGCCTCGCTTCCAGCTTATGCTCCAGAGCATTCTCGAGACGCGAACGCTCTAGTTTGGCCTGCTGAGCCTGGAGACCAGGCGCGACGTTCGTGTCTGCGCTCTTGGTAAGCGTTACGTTAGAGGTCAGCGAGGGAAAATACCTTTCAGAATGTTCCTGTCTACAAGATCCTTCTTCTCAGGCCTTCCCTTGAGAGCCTTCTCAAGGCTGTGACTGGCATCACTAGGCGAGATGGGCGTCTCGTCAGGCCCTGGGACGGGTTCGGAGTCACCAGTCACAGCAGTGACTGTATCCAAAACAGCCTGCTTTGCTGAGATAGTACATGAACATTGAAATAGAGATATTGTAAGGTGAAGTGAACATACTGGTAGCAGCTGCGCTGGAAAGTGTCGAAGCCGCTGTGGCCGCTGCCGTTGTAGCAGCTTGGGTCGCCTGAGTTGCGAGAGAAGAAGCAGTATCAGAAACAGCTTGCACTACGAACGCATTTTTGAGCAGTTCATCTTAGAGAAATTAGGAGACATACCAGTAGTCTTGTCGGCCATGAGTATCGTCTTTCAGGTAGATGTATGCGTTGCGATGGACAAGGTTGGAGTTCAAGTTGACACAGTCCCGAGGTGGCTGTTACCTCCGACTTCTCAGGGCCTCGCGGTCATTCCTCCGCAGTTAAACTCCGTGTCCAATCTTCGCGTCACCCACGTCGTCTACTCTTGCTCGGTTTAGACGTCGAGCTCCCTTTTCTTCACCTCCGACTCCAGTCTCTGTCGAGCTCTTCGACCTGGTCGGTGTTCTTTACCATGTCCCGGCGACTTGTAGCTGCGGCATTCGCTATCGCGTCGCTGCTGCCGGCATGCGACGCCTTCTATCTCCCTGGTACTGCTCCCGTCGACTACACTCCTGGAGAGCAAGTACCGTTACGGGTCAACAGGCTTACGCCTATGGTTGGACCTAGCGATGCCAAAATAGTGAGTGCCTCCTAGCTGTACCTTTCTGAGGTGAAGTCTAATATGTTGTGCAGAAATCTCTCATCAACTGTGGGCGCCAATCAGTCCAACTTCGGACAGTGCATATGCTGAGCTGCTACACTCCTTAGATGATTACTACAACCCACACTTTCACTTTTGCGAGCCAGAAGGCGGCCCCACAAAGATGCCAGAGTCACTTGGCAGCATTCTCTTCGGGGACCGTATCTTCGACTCGCCATATAATGTATGTTTCGCGTATCCGAGCGCTAAATCATGGACTTATACTGGGTTCTGGTAGATCAAAATGCTCGAGAACGTGTCCTGCGCAACTCTATGCATGTCCGTAATTCCGGCTGAGGACGCAAAATTCATCAACGAGCGCATCAAGGAGGACTATGCCATCAACTGGCTGGTCGATGGTCTCCCTGCCGCAGAGATGAAGCAGGACGAGCGTACTGATGAGATCTTCTACGACACAGGCTTCAATCTGGGTATAGATGATGGGGCGTTCGAGGAGCTCCCTGCAATCAACAATCATTACGACATCGTTATGCAGTACGCTCGTCATTCATACGTCTCCGATACCAGCCGCTCATTCGTCTTGCAGATACCACGTCCGTGACAACAACCATTACCGTGTTGTCGGTGTCCTTGTTTGGCCCAGGAGGTGGGAATATGTGCTCCGCCATAGATTATTGTCTTACAAGAAAACAGTATCGAAGCGACGAATGAGACTCCCGATTCGCAGCGCTGCAACCGAAATGCGCCTCCTCTCATCCTGAACGAGGGTCGCACAAACTCCATCTACTATACATACACTGTTGCATGGGAGGTATGCCCCTGTCAATGTCTGCTTAGGGCATAGTCTCACAGATGTTCACACTAGCAATCGGATACCCCATGGGCAACCCGCTGGGATCACTATCTGCATATCTTCGACCCGAAGATCCACTGGTTCAGTCTGATCAACTCAATCGTCATCGTCGTATTCCTGTGCGTGATGGTCTCCATGATCCTGGTTCGTACAGTGTCCCGAGATGTACGCAAATAAGCTTCGGATGAGGTGCACTGCGCTGATATTCTCCCCAGATCTCTCGTTACAACGCACTAGATCTGACGGTATGTGTTCATCTTCTGAACCGTTTCCTAGCCCTCATGCGACTTAAAGGAGGACGTGCAAGAGGATTATGGATGGAAATTGATCCATGGCGAAGTTTTCCGTCCACCTCGGTATCCCATCGTATTGTCCGTCCTTGTTGGGAATGGTGCGCAACTAGGCGCCATGGTGGCTGTCACCCTCGGTGCGATAAGTCTGTCGCGACGTTTTTTATCCTTAACATTCTTTGATAGTATTTGCCCTTTTTGGCTTCCTATCACCATCTAACCGTGGCTCTCTTGCTACCGTCATGATTATCTGCTGGACCCTCTTTGGGTGGTAAGGTTTCCAAGCACCATTTTGGGATTAAGTCTCACGTTACTGGTAGTGTCGCTGGGTACATGTCACAGCGTGTATATATGTCCATCGGCGGTACTGAATGGAAGAAGAATGTGTTCTTCACTGCTACAGTCATGCCTGGGTGAGTGATGCTAGGCTTGCACGATCTTCATGTATTCACCGTTTGGGACAGATTCGTGTTTGCGGTTGTTTTCTTCCTCAACCTCTTCCTGATTGGGACCGGCTCTTCGGGTGCAGTTCCATTTGGCACAATGTTGGCTATTGTCCTGTTGTGGTTTGTCATCTCCGCGCCTCTCACTGCTGTGGGCGTGTTCTTCGGATTGAAGCACGGTGTAAGTATCCCACCCCCCAACCGCAGGGATTGTCAGCTAATTTCCTGTAGGGCGTCTCTCACCCGGTTCGGGTGAGTCCGATTCCTCGCCAAATACCAACAGCTCCTAGGTACCTCAGACCATGGGTATGTTTTGTAGATCTGACTCCCATCCAATCTAACCTGTAACAGGCGTCTGCTCTCTTGGCTGGCATCTTGCCCTTTGGTGCTGCTTTCGTTGAGCTCTACTTCGTCCTGTCAAGCCTCTTTGGCTCTCGCGCCTATTATGCCTTCGGTTTCCTTGCACTCACTGCTGGAGTCGTATGCATAACAACCGCGACTGTTGCCATCCTCTTCACATACTTCATCTTGTGTGCCGAAGAATACCGGTATGTGCTCAGCTCGTCATAATTGACATCCGAATGACTCCATCCTGCAGGTGGCACTGGAGATCGTTCTTCATTGGTGGCGGTAGCGCCTTTTGGCTCATTACCTATGGGTTATTCTATTGGGCCTCGAGGCTGTCACTCGATTCTTTCGCCAGTGTCGTCTTGTATCTGGGCTACTTATTTCTCATTGCATTATTCGATTTCCTCATTACTGGTGAGCCTCTCTTTCTCATCAGAAATTAGATCTAACATGAGTGGCTCAGGTACGATCGGTTTCCTCGCAACGTACTGGGCTATGCGCAAGCTGTATGGCGCCATTCGTATTGATTAAGCACACTATATAGCGTATAGATAGCTCTAAACCATCTGTATCATTTGTGTTCCTCCCGCGGTACCTCGGTAACGACGATGAGATGCTGTTTCTTCCCTGCTCGCATGATAGCAAAACGACCCTGAATGAAGTCCCTTCGCTCCAGTTGCCTTTGGACATCCTCCACGCGCTCATTGTTTAGATAGAATCCACCCTGTCGGATGGGCTGTCGTGCAACCGCTGAGGAACATTTAGTGAAATGAAGAGATCAGTGGGAAACGGCGCACTCAGTGATGGCATCATCTTATGCGATAGACAAAACTGGGGGATCACTTTCCCTTCGATTTCACTCCACTCCAGCTGTATTAGCCGGGGATCGCCCTGGAATGCTTTCACAATGTCATCCGCCTCGAGCTCCTCTATATTTGTATTATATAGTACCCGTGTCATGGTACGTGCACGGGCCAGGCCATCCTCTGAAGGCCAGTTAGTTGAGGATCGTCAGTTATAAGAGTCCACATACCGCCATGGACAAGTTCGGTCACTTCATCGGCGAGCCGCTTCTGCGCAACGCGAAGCTCGGGACTGGACTTTGTCGGGTTAGATGACGTCGTGCAGCGAATGTGGGGCTAACCTTTTGCCATTTGATTAATTCCGTGATCTCCTCTTCTGGGAGCAGGGTTAGTATGCGTAGATATCGCTCAATATCGGCGTCCTCAACCCGGATGAAGAACTAGACAATCATGAGAACTAAGCGCACGAAATATGATGAGCGAACCTGATAGAAGTCGAATACTGTTGTTTTGTCCTCCTTCAACCACACCGCATTGCCCGCACTTTTGCCAAACTTCTCGCCGTCGCTCGTCGTCAGGAGCGGTATAGTCAATCCGTAGGTCTCTGCCCCTACACCCGTTTCGTCGGCCGTGAGATGGCGTATAAGCTGAGTGCCCGCCGTGATGTTACCCCACTGGTCTGAGCCGCCGATCTGAATGTTGCAGCCATGCTCTTTGTGGAGGACGTAGAAATCATAGGCTTGCAGGAGCTGATATGTGAACTCTGTGAAGGAGATTCCACTTTCAGATTCCAGTCTAGCCTTGACACTTTCTCAAGCCTCAGCAGCTATCATACGCACGTGAAGAAAGATTCACCTCTCTTTGGCGATCATTTGATTCACGCGAGCGTGCTTCCCAACAACACGGAGAAAGTCAATCATCGTCATTTTCCCAAGCCAATCGAGGTTGTTGACGACCTTTGGGATGTGATGCGCTCTCACATCCCGCGTTCGCTTACCGGCATACGATGCACCTCGTTGTAGAAACTCCTGAACTTGGCCGGTGATGCTTTCTACGTTTCGTCCAAGATCCTCTGGCGAGAGAAGGTTGCGTTCAGTCGAGCGCCCAGATGGATCTCCAATCATCCCAGTAGCACCTCCAATCTACAGATCCTCAGAAATCAATCTTATCCCGGAGTTGTGAATCCTCACAAGAGCAATGGTCTGGTGTCCTCGAATGTGGAAATGTAACAGGGCCATCAAGGCAACGAGATTTCCGACATGAAGCGAGTCTGCCGAAGGATCAACACCAAGGTAGACAGTTGACTTATTCTTGGTGGCATCTGAGAGGGTTGAACTGAAAGGAACGATGAGTTGAGGTCAGCCAAACAGACCAGACAAGACGCGCCTCGTTTCATCATGAACAAATCCTCGAGCCCGTAACTCGTCGACGACGCTTGCTTGGTGGGAAGCAAGTCTCTTTGTCCCCACAAGTATGGTCCGTTTTATAATGCGTCCATGGCAGAATGGCCGCACAAGCATGGGTGTTCCGAGGAGAAGAATTCCGTTCGACCGGTAGTGGCAGGTAAACAATGTTTTGATTTGTTTTTATAATAATATTATGTCGAGTCGTCGATTAGGGGAGAATAGATAACGTGGCGTGGATTGGCCTGCCGCGGGCCAATCCGTCCCTATATACATATAGGCTACATAGATAGTCTAATGGAATCAAATTCCGGTGCCTTAAGGCTGCGCAAGGGTCCTGCACTGCCACTCTTGGCGCAAACTCGACACCATCCCCTCTCTAGCTCTTGAGCATCGACCACGATGCTGCTGGAGGGCAATCTGTGCCATCCAACCCCCTGCTTCACTCCTTCCTCACTGTCAACTACTGTCAACCAATCTGAGGCCCCCTGGAGATGATTCTGGCTGGTTTCTGGGCTGATCTGAGCTGTTCTTGGGCTGGATGGATGGGTTTTTGTGATTTTGAGACGGAATTTGCTTTCTGGCTCTGCTCTGTGTCTGTCGTCTGCTGGGATTGCTTCGAGTTTTGGTGCGTCCTGGTAAGGCTGGTGTGTACTGCATTCTGGACCTCCATTTGGAGGACTGGACATGCATATGCAATCAGTGGACCACCTTTTGCATCGGATTTACTAACTTCGCCCATCTGTGCAGGCAACTGTTTGGGTTGCTCCGGGGCTTCAGGTTGAGGGAATCGGACCTCCGTCTGGAGGATTGTAACCCAAGACCTGCAGTCTTGGGGTATTGTCTGTGTTATCGGTTTAGAATCGAGTCTGTGGCCTTTGTTTCACTGGAACAGTTTGCGGAATTCCGTGATCTTGACCCATGGGTCATGATCTCCGTCTTGGCATAACTGTTCACTGCGTATTCTGTGCTTTGTCCTCTGCAACCGTCACTGGTGCAGACTGGGCTTTGTCTTCTGCAACCGTCACTGGTGCAGATGTGGTTTTGTCTTCTGTAACCGTGACTGGTGCAGACCCGGTATTTGGATTGGCAAAGCGACCGATAATTCATATTGAAGGCATGGCACGGACAACAGCCTGTGAAGCGGCTTCCTTGTCTTCCTTCGACCACTGGCGTTGTGTTGCCTTTGGCAAGACCCAAGCCCGATGGTTTGTATCATCTTCTCGGAGATGAGCAAGTCGAAGACGGTTTCCATTCACCAAGCCTGGTCGTAAGTGTCCACGTCTATCCTTCAGTTGATAGGTTCCCTTATCCAGTTTTGTAGTGATCACAAATGGTCCGAACCAATGTGCATCACCCTTGTTTGCAGTTTCATTCCGGAGCAGCACCTTTTGACCAACCTCAAAAGCCTGCTGTGTACCTTCCGCCCCGATTTTGAGTTGGTGATCCCACCGCTCTTTGTCTGCAAGTGCACGGATAGTGCCTCGCTCCGAAGCTTCTTCTCGAGCCTTCTGCATTTGCAAGTGCCGTTCCGAGTGCTCTGCATCCCCTGGGAGTGCAGCATCTGGGGCACGGAGAAGTGGCTGGTCAAATGGCAACCGAGGCTTTTGACCATACAACAACTCAAATGGTGACCACTTGGCTGTGGTTTGCTGTCGGACTCGAGTTGCAAATAGTGCAGCATCAAGAAATTTGTTCCATCGAGTCGGATCTCCTGTGGTATTCATCTTCTTGAGATACGACTCAAGGATCCCATTGTATGATATCCTGAGGTAGTCAACTGTCTGATCTTTGCAATCTTCAGGAATTCAGACACAACCGGAGCAAGGAAGTTCTTTCCACGGTCCGTGAGGATTTCACTTGGCACTCCATAGTGCATAACGATCTGGTCCC